CTGTAGATTTGGCTCTGAGGCACCTATAAGGGCGCTAGGGGTCTTAAAAGATAGGTCTTGAGATGCTTTTAATAAGCAGTAGTATTGGGGAAATGTTTCAGTATTTTGTTAATGTCCACACAATAAAAAGCGTGGGAGTATTAGGTGGATAAAAGTATAGAAAATCGGAAAAAATTGAATATTTCAAATGCCGCTATACGGAGCTAGGGTGCAATATTCCGGTCGTAACCTACGCCATTTTTTAGCTTTTGGCACACCAAAAAACACCCCGAAGTTTAGAAACGATCGGTGTTTCTCCAAGCGAACCTCAGCTATTACAAAACTCGAAAAATGGCGATTTTTGCGGTTTTTAGCAATATTCAAACGGCTCTATATCAGTCAATTTTGAAGCAATCAAAATTCTGAAAAAAGCAAATTAAAGGTCTTGAAAAGACCTTTAATTTGCCGGTTTCAAAAGTTAAATTGCTTCAAAATTGACTGCTGTAGAGCCGTTTGAATATTGTTGGAAATCCACAAAATTAGCTATTTACTTGAATTAAGCTCGAGATGTGGCTATCGTCGAAAACCTCGGGGTCAATTTTTTTTCAAAAAGTACTTTTTCAGACGAAAAAAATGAGCCCAACTACGTCTCTGAAAAGTCAAAACTCCGCTTTGTAGAATTTTTCGAAAATCGACAAAAAACAGCGAAAAAAACCACGTTTTTCGACACTCATTTGTCGCTTGGCACCTCCAAAAATTTTTTTCCGGGCTGAAACTTTAGGAAAAGTCTTTTTTTATGTTGTTTAATAACATATCTTTTTTTCAGATTTTTTTGAAATACCGCCGCGCACACTTTTTTAAAAAAGTAGGAGAATGACCCATATGCATTTTTGGGTTGAACTATAGTAACGCATTTTATACCTTTGAGGGATGATATTGATATATTCCTAAAAATTTTTAGGGTAAAAAAAAGAGTTAATGAATACTTTTACAAACTTAATTTTTTTTTAAATAATAAATATAAATAATATGAATTATATTAACATATGTAATTTTTTTTCGAATAAAATTCTATTGCGGCGTGGACAGATGGTAAGAAATATCAATTAATCTTATTATACTTCAATATTTTGAATGCCTTCAATATCTCTAAAGTTGTTTATAGTTTCTTAGATATTCTCAATGTATTGAACATTTCTATTCTTTACATTCTTCGTTTCTGTTATTAATTATCTCTTATAATTTTACTTTCTCTTGACCATAACCAAATGTTATGAAATTGTTTATTTTAATGCCTTATTTAAAATTCTTCTTCTCTATGTATGTACTCCACTAGTTACATCTTTTGCCAATCATATTAATATGGTAATCATCTTTAGCATTTCCCGTGAAAAAATTTTTATGTAGCTTTTTGAAGTTAAATTTATTTGATATTTACATTTATTGCCTGTATTCAATCAAGCGCACCCCTTTAAAATATTTGTTATTTGAATTTTCATTGTAATTCTTTTTTATTTGTTATTGAACTATGAAAAATGTTTCATGCATATTTTACATTTTTTATAAATAAGGTTTTTACATTTTATCAAATTTTCTTTTTTTTTTTGAAGTCATGAGCAATCAAAAATTTGAAATTAAGCTGTATCTGTGAAAGTACTTCACGTTGTGTTTTTATTTTTAGAAATAGACATTTTTGATTAAAAAAGGGTGTACTTTTTCTAAATAAGTTTTAAATAATTTTTCAGCAATCACTAATAATAATTTCAAAAAATTTTTAAATACAACTCTTCAAATCCGAAAAAATCCATTTATAACCCTTTTTCAACTTTTTTCCTAATTTTTTTTTAAATAAATGTTATTTTATTCAAAAAATTTACATTTCGAGGGACGAGTTGAACTTTTTTAAAAGCGAACTAAACTTTTAAAATAAATTTGATTATTAATTTCTTTTTTGCCAGTGCAAAATATGGTCGATAATAAATTTAGTATATTGGATGCTACTTTCCATTATTTGACAATCATCACAAACTTGAACATACTTTTTTAATTCAGATAATTGATCAAGGTTGAATTTAAAAATGTATTCAAACTTACATTTACTAGTTTTGGCAATTATATTGCATTTTTTGACATCGATTATTATTTGATTATTTATTGATATATTTTTTTATTGTGCATTATGCAGCAAATAAATATTTCTTAGCAAGAAATATCCTTTTGAAGGCTTATCCAATATTATATCTACGCGTGTTCGACATTTCTTACAGAAGATAAAAAATAATAGTTTTAAATTCTCTTCTTTTTGAGAGCAAATTGAAAGCCAAGAAAAGTTGTATAACCTTGGATTTATTGTACGTATTGAGTGCTACAAGTAACAAGAATTTATGAACGATGATTCAGTGGTTAAGGAGTGTTGGCTCATTCAATTACTTTCTTAAAATGTAACTATTTTTTAACTGGCAAATATGGGTGTAGCGTGCGGTTAATATGCTCAGAAACATCAATCAGTTTGATGAAAAGCGATAACGTGTAATTACAAAATAAATGATTCTAGCACAACAGACAATCACGCAAATAATTTGATTTATGTTTCATAGCTGAGTGCAGTTTCTTACGGTAACATAATTTTCTTCAGTGGGAGTGAAGTACGCCGGTCTTAAACGGTTAAAAAACATACATCTAGCGTAATAGGATTCGTAAAGTATATTAAAATATGCGGAAATAATAACAATCGTATGCAGCAAAGCGTAGATAAGGCCCCTTTGCTGTGTTTTCAGTTTATTGCTGTTGCAGAATTAAATTCAACCCGGTGTACATTGTAGTACGTGTCAATAAACTAAGGTTTACCCGCAGTAATAAGCCTTCAAAATGATTCTCATCCGAAAAAAACTCATCATGACGCCAATGTTTGTACATTATGTACAATTAGATTGCAATTTTTTACTTTTCTGAGTGTTCTTTTTAAATTAATTGATATTTTTCAACTAATTTTATACACCAATGAAAAAAAAAATATTTTTCACGTTTTATTTGTTATTCTTTAGTCTCCTAAATTCTTTAAAAAATATTTCACATACAAGTATGGCTTACTCGAGAACAAAAAAAATGCTACAAACAAAGAAATTACTTGACCGGTAGAACTCGAATTTGATCCAAAATTTTTTAAGGACTCAAGAAGAAATCCTTCCTTTTTGATTCTCATAGTTTCTATTTCTTGATTTATAAGTTATTTTAAATCGTTCATAGCTTCAGGATTATGAGCCATAAAAATAAATTCAACAGTGGGGGGCTTTTTTGTGCAAAATTCTCAAAAAATTTTAAGTATGTCCGAACACAAGAAGTTAAGTTTTATCTTTGTGGGTACATTGTAGATTTTTCTAATAGAAATTTGAATGAGTACATTGAATTAAATTGCGATGAAAACACTGAACTCAATCGTTTTTAAAACTTTTTTAAAATATTATTTTTGTATCAAATGTTCTCTTGAACAAATTTTGGAAAAATAACTTTAAAAATTCAATATGAAACACGAAAAGTAAAAAAAAATAGCCAGAATTATAAAAAATATCTACAGACCAATGAAAACTATAAATTTTAAAACTAAAATTTTATTTGCACTGATTGTTTATCTTTATCGTACTCCTTTTCTATTATATTTTGTATCAATCACACTGGCCTTGGACTCCTCCTATCTTGGCACGACACTATGCTACTACTACTACTTCTACTACCTTCTACTACTTCTACTTCTACTCAAAACTTCGTTGTCTCAACCAAAATTCCCTACTCTGGTACTATAGTTGGAAGAAGTCCCCGAAAAGGTACGGGTGAGTCCCCTTGATGACTTACTTGTCGCAAAAAGAAAGTGACAAAAAATTGAAAAACCAAAACTATAAGTTTTGTTAGTAGTCTGAAAGAGAAAGAGAGAAAGAGTTCAGAATAGTTCCTCTACGTAGTTATTTAAAAAAAAATTCAAAAACTTTACTATTCAACCTTTTTTAAGGAATTCTTCTCTTTTTCCTTGTTCTTAATTGAGTGCTCAGTAATTTTGTGCATTTTATCATTTTATTTATATTGGAATTATTTAATCTTTGACCAAATTAACCTGTGGATCCTTTTTTTGATAAATTACCAGTAACAGTTGGTTTGAACTAGTTTGTTCAATTATGTTACCAAGAGCCTTTTTAAATGAAAATTTTGACCTATTAGGGTTGTGATTTTTTTGGTTTTAATAACAATTCACAGAAAAATTTTTCGCGTACCATTTCTCACTAGTATATTTTGATTGTGCATTATACTATAATTTGTTGCTAAAATTGGAACTTGCAACCGTTTTTCTATATTTATGTTACACATCTGATTATAATGCTTCTTTCAAGTGACTACCAATTTTATTAGTACAACTTTTTGTCATTTTCATATTCAAGTTTGATCTTTTGTGAAAAGCACCATTTCATGCTTTTTTTGAAAATTAAAAAAAGAAATCAAATGAAAAAACAATTCATTTCTATAAATAACATTTCTTGTTTACCATACGCTCCCATCAGATGGTCACAAAATACACAACTTTTTATGTTCTATTTTATTTTAAAAAGTTTTTACTTGCGATTCTGATGAAAACTGAAGAATTAATTCTAATTTCTTTGAGTTTTGTTACAAAAAGTTTGAATTTTCATTCTTAATATGATTATTTTCTTCGCTATGCTTTTTCATGAGTGAGAACGAATGAAAATCAACTAAAAAAATCGTCACTGATTTATTTCTTTGGCATAATGTAGATTGCCATATATTTTTTAGTTGACGCTTTCGTACAACATTAATCGCTTAAACGATGGAAAAATGTACCTTGTATCATGTGCAATTACTTTTAAAGCTTGGCATTATTACTTGCCTTTTATGTGTCCATTTTTCCAAATTTTAACATTTTTTATATGCTCGCAAAGCAAATATTTATTATACTTTTTCGTACACGTGTTCAGCAATGGAAAGATATTTCTTTGAATTTCTGACATGACATTTAAAAAAGAAAATTTAATCAATCGACAGTGTTAAGCATATTTCCCCAAAAATTCATCTCTTCAGGTTGGAATTAACAGTTGAAATAACGATGTATATCCACAAACACGTATATTTACGTAATATGGAATATTTTTTTACTTTAGTTTACGGAAGGCTTTGATGCATTAATTGCCAGTTTGTATTTATTACCCTGCTCAGTAAATAATTTGTATATCAAACATTTCTGAAAATATTTTTCAACATATGGTTCTTGAATTATTTCAAACAATTCATCCTTAGCCCGAACTTTTTTTAAAAATTTATTTTTAATCTAAAGTTTTAATCAAAACGATTCAATATATAAGTCCTGATAATTTTGAATGACATATTTTCTTACACCGTTTCTTTTTCCTTTCCATAACACCCTGGACACAAATTCGCGTGAAAATTGCATCTTTTTCATCCTTCTTACAAAGTGTATATATCAACGTGTATCTGTATTTACCATATTTACACTCAAAGAAGGGCACGTGGCCCTCTTGCATCATTCTGTCACATCCATGAGCGTGTATATGTACGTGTATACATGTGTATGCATAACTTGTCTTTGCGCATGTTCGAACCCATTAGACTCCGAGCTCAAGCTGCTAGTCCCATACTTAACATGTTCTACAACTTCTCACTTGATCAAAAATGTACCGCGATGAAATACAGCATTGCATCAAATTCACAGCATATTTTTTCTGTGTTCTTATTTTTTAATTGATTTAATTGATTTAATATTATTCGTACACCTAAATATTTTACTTCTTTATCGTCACTTTTACAAGATCATATAGAGTGTTTCATAAAAAAATTGCTCATGCTATTTTTTTTTAATTTACTATCTATGACAAAGTTAACATCATAAAACATTTTGATTTTAAGACTACGATATAAAAGATGTAACAAGACCCGCATGAAACTATTTTTTTCTAGTTTTAAATAAATATTATTATTGTTCATTTTTTATAATTTTTTTTCGCGTGTCCTCTAATATATTATAAAAAGTTACTGCATAACAAAAGATTAAATAAATTTGAGACAGTATCATGTTCTTTTTATCCTTGTTTTGTCTTACATTTTTAGATTTTGAGATTTATTTCATTAATTTTTGATAATTCATAATTTAGTCGATCCAAAAACTACTTTTAACCCTGAGATTATTTATGACGGAAAAATTCGTTTTAAAAACAATTAGTAATAACTAATAAGGATAGAAAAATCTACAATGTGGCAGTTTTAGCGTAGATTTTTCCCTCATGAACTGTCAAAGGGTTAATTGATAAAAGGCATTGATTTTTCTGTGACTCTGTAATAATAGTAGTCAATTTTAATAACCTTATGGATGAATACATAAAAAAACAAATTTTATGAAATAGACTACTAAGAGATTTATGTAAACTCATATTAATAATAGTAAAATTACTAACAATTTATATTTTATGTTTTCAGTATTCTATCATCTTGAATTTTTATTACTAAACTTATCAACCTTATCAAATTTACATAATTACTTTCCTACAGTATTAAATAAAATCTAGTCTTAGTCTGTATTTTTCTAACAAAAGTTACTACTCCTAATAAGTAAGATCACTGACGTAATTGGTTGAAGGATAATATGCAAAACTCATTAACACTCGGGCGACCCTATAGTGAAAGTCGGAGTTTTCCTTTAAAGACTAGATAGACTTTCGAAGCTAGAAAACTGTTAACTTCGACGATAATTCAATAGAAGACTGTAACGGAATGATGCAGATACAAGCTCAGGCTTTGGGTCAAAATCATTAATCGAAATGAAAAAGTCAGATATTTAGCACGAGATTGTGTATTTATACATAGTATGAGCATCCATGAGATGGGTCAAGGTCGAGCGAGACCCTCTCTGTCCTCGTGTAATTGCGCGTGGGATTGACTTGCATCAAGTTCTCGTTCTCGTTTTCTGCAATGTGTGACGTCAAATGATACTCACAGTCATAAATACATGTAAACATTTTGTTTAACAAAAATTACGTGAATTATGGAAATCGCTACCATAAATAATTCAGTCATGAGATTTCATTTTTACAAATATTTTCATCGTGTATCGACGGTTATAGTTACGTTATACCTATAGTAATAAAATCGTTCAACCTTTTACGGTCAATTACATTTAAATAACAATTTGGAATATGCTTTTCTTTTTTAATTTTTACTTATTATCTTCAAATTGTACTGATTTTTACAAAAACGTGTGTGCCTACTATTTAAAACCTGTAATTTTTATAGTATCGATAAGTACTTATTACTTTTTTACTATAGAATATTTTTCATTACTATAAATTTTTTGAGCACATGCTAGCGAATGTTTTATTTACGCAAAGCACATCTGTTTTTTATCTGTTCTATGTAATGTTTTTCTTTACTCGACCACACCCACTACTACTACTGCTACTGCTACATCTTCTGCTACCACCACTTCTACAACTTTGGTGACCAAAATATAATTATTTAATGTACTTACATTCTACAATGTGTACAAACTATGCGCCACCAACGAATCGTCGCCTCTTTACCTCTATAATGGCCCGCGGATTTTATAAATAATCTTCTACCTTCTGATTGTATTCTTCTACTACTACTACTACCACTACTACTACTACTACCTCTGCCTGTGAATCAACTGATGATATTATTAATATTGAAAAAAAATTTATAATTATACTAACGGTGACCATGATAATGACGCTACTCTCACATTATTGGTACTTATCTGTCCCTTTGCATACGTAATCACGTCGTCCTGCGGTCATCGTGTGCCGTTTGTTGTGGTATATTTGTCGATCTGTCTGCGTTGCTCGTGCTAAACAAAAAAATTTACACCTGCAAAAATCGATGGACGAAAATTTGACAAATGCCACACGCACGCTGCCTATGTATATCTGGCATCATCGTGGACGGTCACCATCAACTGATGATGATGTCGCTGCCGACCTACCTGTGCCTGATAAACCACTGATAAACCGCGTACGGTGAGTTTTTGCTTACTAAGTTCGATATTAATTTATCGCATCATTATCATACGCAAATTAAAAAATAAAACAAATAAATAAAATAAAAGAGAATGAAGATGGTCACGTTGTACATTTGTACATTTTGTGTCGTGTACGTACCTTAGTTTTAATATATTCGTGGTATGAGAGATTCTTAGATATTCATAAATTAATAAAAAAGCTTGTCTGTGGTATAAATATACGTATCTACTTGTCTCGTATAAAAATGTTAGTCGTTCAATACAATATATAAAATGTTTGTGAAATTTGTACGTGCTTTATCACACTTTCGTATACAACTACCGAACGAGGAATTGGATTGAAAAATACGAAATAATGATAGATGAAACAAAATAAAATTAAAAGCGACGATTGTAATTAGCAAATTAGCAAGTCGTTTGAGTAAACGTACGTAGCGAGGCTGTAGCTAAGTTCACCATGCCTACAGAAGCGATACACTAGTTCGTCAATTACAGGATGATGTTTGACATCGGTATCATTACTCTATCCATCGTCAATTGTCATATACGTATATTAATAATACGTAATACATCTGCCTGCTGGAAACGCTGTTGTCGCTGTATTTAATTCATGCTCATTCTCGGCCTTGCGAAAAAAGGTCGAAAAAGTTTGCTTTTCGTTGCATTCAGCCTTCTCTATGAGCACTTTTGGCGCTCTTTCTTTTCGGACGTCTCTGCAGCCTTTGGCTTTCTCTGGGCTTTCACGCACATACAATTATCATATGCGAACATAGAACCAGCAAGCTATTCATGCTTTTGCGAGCTTTCGTGTATACACATGTACAATACAGCGCTGGACTCGCTCGGGTTAATGCGTTACATGCTCGAGCGGCAAATTTAACGAGAATTCAGCGAACGAATATATTTTTTCGACTTTTGCTGGAGCTCTCGTCAATTATTCGATACTCTGGCTCACTTTTCTCTCTTTTTCATGCTTCGGGGGCTCGTGTCGCGTTGTTGTTGGCACAAAAATGCAGTTGCACCTGTAGCTTTTGCAACTAGCGAGCTTTTTCAAAGCACAAACTTTTCGACGATTCCTATCGAGCTAAGCGATCGAATAGATCGAAATGGATCAATCATGGCATTGTTTTGACGCGCCAGAGTTTCAAGCTATTACATTGGCTGAGTAGACAAAAGGCTTAATAAGCTGGAAAATGTGTGAATTGGCTTCGCATCAATCGTCTGCATAACGAAAATACAAGCCGCGGCGCATTCGTGCAGCTTACACGCAATTGTAAAAGCTCACGCGTAGATCATCGACACGCACGGCTCGCAAGCTCACGCGACTCTAACTCTGGCAGCGCAATTAAAAGTTTCTTCGCGACCGATAATTCGGTCACATTAGTGGCTTGGGATATTATATATAGGTATACATAGAGAGCTTGCACATAGCATGTATTACGACGCTCGCTCGTCTGCATCGTGTACAGAAAGAGAGAGAGAGAGAGAGAGAGAGAACAGTGTACTGCTGATGCTGCTACCGACGCTATGCTCTCGTACGCGAGGCAGGAGAGAAGTTTTAACGTATACATGAGCGATGCCTCGCCGTATATATGCCAGTACATGCCGCGCTCGACGTGCCGTTCATGCCGCTCGTGACGCTATCCTCCATACTGCTCCTGTAGGTATTAAACTTACCTACCAAGTTTTCCTCTTGCGATCTTGCGATGTTCGAGAAAAGCAACGTTACAGCGGCGACGGCGGCTAGCCTCGTGCTCTGCCATACCTCCAATATCTCGTGGGAACACAAAAAAGTTTTTTCTATGCAATGTTGCTGTTACTGCTGCTGCTGCTGCTGCTGCTTCCGCTTCACACTGCCTCTCGCGGGGAATGACGTGCGGCTCCTTTTCTTTTTGTCGCTCTCTCTTTTGCGCTGCTACTGCTGCTACTGCCCTTGCTCTGCAGACGCTAAAGTTTTGCTTTCAAAGGCTACAGCTCGCTCACCACCGTATATATAACAGCTTCACTTACAAAAGCCAAGTGGACAATTTCCTTTTGTACCATCATTTTTATCTCGCTTACATTTTTTTCTATATCTCATCCATTTTGATAATTATTCATGGTACGATGTACCAGTGACGTTTTTTTTCATCGGAAACGCAAAACTTGAATGAGCCGTTCAATCGCTTTGGCGAATGATTTTTGTCTTTCTACGAGCCTCTCAACGAGTTAACTACTCGAAAAGTTGCTACACGCGAAGCAAAATATTTGTATTTACAAAATACATACTCAGTCTCGTGGTTTTATCATCTTGCCACTTTTTAAAATCATATTGTTTATGATAATTTATGATAAACATCATGTAGAATTCAAATATTAGATAGTTCAATAAGTAGAAGCATGTTTTTAGAATTTTCAATATTTATGCAAGTAAAATTGAAGTTTTTTCGCAGAATATTTATTCTTCGAGTGAATTTATTTTTCATTAAAGTACCTTTTCGAAGTTTATACTATATTATACTTTATGCATAATTCGCATGGGAATTGAAATCTACGAAACCGCATTTCGCAAATTTTGACTTTTCCATTGTTATCGATTCAAGTAAATTATTTTTTATAACATAATGATGCTTTAGAATGAGAGCTTGCATCAAATATTTTTTGATAATATTTCAGCTAATTTACCGTAATGTAGGACTATATTTAAATATTAGTCATTTGCGATAAAAAGAAAAACATTAGAGCAACGCACGTTAACAATACGGTTCGTGCACAATTATTTTAATATAAAAATAAGTACGCGCTCAAATGCTTGGCCTGACTTTTCTTCTCATAAACACACAAGTGCACGCTTAGCGAAAGTTTTTTTATATTTACATACTTTTTTCAAAATATTTTTATATCTACTTTATTTAAAATGAAGTATTAACTAAGTAACTGAACGAGTACAAAAAATTTGAAAATCTTGAAAATTTGAAACCTCTGGGAACCTTCGCCATACACATTCGTGCACTGAGAAAAAAAATTCATTGATTCAATGAAACGTTTAATTGAATACAATCTATGAAATAATTCATTCATCCAACAAAATATTTAATTGTTTTCATGAAACTTTGGTAAAAACAATTAAATATTTTGTTGGATGAAATAAAAAAAGATTATTTCAATGAAATTATTTCATAGATTGTATTCAATTAAACGTTTCATTGAATCAATGAATTTTTTTTCTCAGTGTGGGAAAGAGTTAAAGTTAGATTAGGCTCATATTATAATTTGTCTATTCTAAAACCAACATACTACTTTGTTCAAATGACATAACTAGCAAATCATTAGAATTATAGCTGCAGTCTATCAAACATCAAAAGGTACGACCGGTAGGAATCCAATTTTTAAGATTTTCACATTTTTTCATATTCCATAAGATATAATATGGATGTAATATAAGTCGATACTTCATATTTCGAACGAATCGTCCATTTATCTACGCTAAAGCTCGAGAAATCGTTCGCAGAGGTGTGAGCAGCAATCGCTACTGCTACACCGAGAACTTTTTGATCGTTGAACGTTTTAACAAAAACCATTCGCACTTTTAACGGAAAAAAGATTAAGAGAAATTCGTACCAAAAGGTATTTCGCGCGTTTTTCTATAGTTTCGAGCTTGCGACTTTTAAAGCAGAAGCGGGTATAAACGTATGAGAGCTCGTAATATGGTTATACGTTTCGCCATATACATATCATATACATAATAATGGAATGCACATTGAAGTTATGAAATTGCTTATAATAAATGCGACTTTTATTGCATATCTTTATTTCTGCAAGGCAATATGAGCTGGATCTTCTTGGCTGCTCTCCTTCGTTTTTTAGCAGCTTTGAATAAATGGAAAAATGAATTTCATAACTCGCGCATTTTATGTGTGCGTGTGTGTGCAGTAAGCGTAAAAGTTTTACTGGTCCTCGTACGAGCTGCGATGATATCTTACTTATAAAAACGCGATTTATGCGTACCTGCCATAGAAAAGCTGGGCAAGTTTAAATTATTAAATCGAAAATAGCATTGTGTTGCGCTTCAATTACAAAAAAAAGTAATGATGAAAATAATGCACAAAAATAATGCCTTCGCTTTGCTTAATTTATATATTTTTTATTTACGATTAAAATTAAATTTACAATATAAAAATAACGCAGTACACTTTGCTAAGTGTGATTGGAGTGACCATTGAAAATAATCATCACGTTAACATTGTTCGGGCTTGTCGAGTTGTATCAGAGATTAATTTAGCGTGTGTTTTCAGGTGTAGCAGCCAATCAACGCAAGGAAGTCATTCGCAACAAGATCAGGGCTATTGGAAAAATGGCGCGTGTCTTTTCCGTACTCAGGTCAGGAAAATACAAAGATACTTTTTCTTTTATTTCCATACGAAAATTAAGTTAAACTGAATTTTTATGTATTGATTATTATATTGTTGTTTATATGTTCACAGAGAGGAAAGCGAAAGTGTTTTGCAATTAAAAGGTCTTACACCTACTGGAGCTCTGCCTCTCGGAGCACTCTCTGGTGGCAAGACGTCTTTGAAAAATGGTAAGTTTCGTTAACATATTTTTGCCCTACAACTAAAGAATCAAATAATTCAAAACGAAATAACCAAAATAATATGTCTAATATGCAACTTTTAGCGCTGCAAGGTTTTTCGCCGAATCACAAGATTACGTCCTTCGCCGAAGCCAAAGGCTTGGACGCAATCAACGAGCGTATGCCTCCGCGCAAAGACGCACCGCCAACGCCGGTTAACGAAGAAAAGCCACAGTCTGCAGTCAAGACAGGATCATCGCCGGTTGGAGCTGCGACGGGTACGACCCAAGCAGCTGGAGCTACACCGGAAAAACGGGACCACAGCACGACGCAGTCTCACTCGTGAGCCGCGTACTCGTCTTAAATCAGGTATCATTTGTTTGTATTTGTATCCTAGCTAAAGTAGCCGTCGCTTCTAGTCGGATAATTGATTTAATTTTTTCAATTTAGTGCAGGTAACAATGGCGATACTTATGTCCGTAATGGTTGCCAAAGCCACGATAAACTATACCAACGCTCGTCTCTTTCTGGACACTAGAAATTGTTCTTATAAACAAATGAAAAAGTAAAAAATAGATGCAAAATTCAAGCTACTCAATTCACAGAAGCTCAGTGTGAGTTGAATTTGACGTATCCTGGCTTCATTGAAAACAAAAATAAGAAGATAAACACATACACAAACGCGTGCATATAGAGTGATATAAGTGGAAGAGTGCAATGATTATCATGGTTGGTGAGGCATATGCCAATTCACCGGATCATGTAAACATTAGTTGCTCTTTTATCATTTTAAGCTAAGCATTGAAATAACAGGACTGTACGGTTGGATGTCATAACGCAGCGTGACTCGACAAATTGTTATTGCACGAATGATAAAGATAAAAAAGTTGAAGAAAAATAAAAAAAGACAAAAAGCTTTTCTCTTTCACGCGTAAAACATTGATATAATATAAAGAAAAAACTATATTTGCGAGTGAATATCTACCAAACCTCATTTGGTAACTTTACTCATTATATAGAGATGAATGACGAAAATGATGACGGATGATTTTAAAGTGTTGATCGGTAACTTATTAATAATATAATGATTATAGCTATGTGAAACAATGATGAGTAAAAAAGAACTTTGAGAATAAAATCAGTAGTTATAAGGACAACGGAAGTGCAATGGAAAAGATGTGTTACACTACAAATCTCTCAAAATTTGTGAATACACATAGAATTTTATCTAATTGTGTACATTTCTCCGAACTCATCCTTTTTATTATGCCAATGTGTATACATTTTAACACATATTTTGGTGTAACGAATTCATACATAAACTTCTTGTTTAAAACATTTTTTTTAATGAATGATAAGTTTTGAGATTAAAAACTTATTTTTGGAGGAGGTATATACTCTTCCAATGAAAAGATGAATGAATGCATCGACATGTATGCTCGTGTTTATAAAAAAATTTTTTTGTCATGTGTACGACTGTATTTTCAAATCCATTTCATTGATAAACTGATAAACTATATACACATGTATATATGCATTCAGTTTATGCACTGATATCTTCTTTTACTTAGTGACAACCCTATTTTAATTGACAATGTTCCTTTGAACTTGAGTTCTTTAGGTTTGTTTTTTGTTTTGTTCAAAAATAATCATGCGTTTAATGTTATCTAATTGTGCAAGTTTTTTTAACAAAGTTTTGTGATTGTAAAAATGGTTTTTATGATGTGCTTAAAAATGAATGAATTGATGCTAAAGATTTAATGATTGTTAGTCGAAATAATAGTAAGAACGAATTGTGTTTACTTCAATGAAATAAATTGATGATATGCACATTTTTTGACAGTCAAAATATTGCGCTTGACGAATACTAAGAATTAAATAAAATGTTAAAAGTTTTTATGATTAATATTGCGAATACCTTACAAATGATTCTTCTTCGCCTGTAACAATCGCTTTTATATACATATATGCATGAAAAATTTAAAATACAAATATTCATCCGTTAATGTAAGAAAGAAAGACTCTTTGCACCTTGTTTTACAACTCTTTTTATATTCCATTCTCACTCATATAAACATACCCAATAACATGAATTTCGATATTGTAAGTTAACATAATTCATAAATATATCATCTTTTGATTCTGGTCTGTTTCATATAAATACAATGCTAGTCCGTCATATCAAACTGACATACTTATAAGGAAGTAGAGAAAATGTGCTAACGGACCTTGCATACAATACAATTTGTTGAAAATGATTGCTCGCCTGTAACTATCAAATGCATAAGAAAAATTTATTGAAAGCGAAAGCTCAAAGTAAACGAGAAAATAAAATATGGCATCTTATTTCTTAAAAATGTTACGGGCTTACAGCTGGTCTGACCCGAAAGTATAAAGGAATTAAAGACAGTCGCTTTTTTCGGTTGTACTCATTGTTAATTCGTAACTCGTGTGTAAATTTAACATATAGTAAGCTATGAAAATCTAAAAAATATGCGAATGACGATATTTATTAGTGTAAATTATGAACATTAATCGTCACGCAATATTCACAAATAAACGATAAAGGTATATAAAACTAGAACCAGAGGAATAGTAAATCTCACAACACTCTTTTACCGTATAAAACATTTATATCTTTGGTGAACATTTCAAAAATAATTCATTTACTTGTATATTTGTTTGATTCATCGAAAAAGCAATTTTTAATTTATTTAAATATCATCTTCGTTCTTCATGATTAGTCTCCAATGACAATGATAGCAATACGTCCAGTGGGAGTAAAAAATAATTGTCTCAATTTACATTTTATTTGAGATTTTCTCCTCTCGAAACAAGGGAAAATTGTGAGCATTATCATCATCGGTGACTCATGTTCTTTCATTATGTGTATGCGAAAAATGAATTTAAGTAAAAAATAATAACAATAAAGTAAAAATGTATTATACTCAAAACGAAAAGCGATGCGAATGTGCAAACAAGCACATTTTTCATTGCATGTACTGGATAGACATAATTTTTTATTAATATAAATCAAGATGAAGAGATGTAATCTCTATTGCTTCTAAACTTGCTATGATCGTTCTCTAATGCACTTGATCTACACCTACACTAAACATAAACTTGAAATGAAGATGTCGATTTTTTCGTAATTTATAAACTGGCTGAATTGGATTGAAAAATGAAACAAACTTGAAATGTGCTCACATAGTTGATATTTTTCATTTCTAATAAAATGTCTTGACTGCCATAAAGCAAGAATCCAATGATAAGTTTCAAGTGTTAGCGCAAATGATTAGGAAATATTTGTTGCCTGCAGCAGCAATAACTTTCATCGGATTCTTTATCATAAGGAAAGGCAAAACATTGTTAAAATATAGAATCACATACAAAAATGTTGAATCGATAAAAATTACCTGGTGAAGTGTAAACTAAAATGAAAAAAACGATTTTGAAGAATTCAAAAACGTTTAAACTAATAAATTATTTCGCTTTTTTAACGGGCTTATTTCAAAATGTAACGTATAATACTATAAATGAACGAAAAATAATATCATGCTTATAAATAAATGTATATATCGTATGAAAGTTGTCGTACCGTAAATATAATTATACATAAGAGAGTATATAAGTTTGTCGAATATAAAAAGACGAAGTAAGAGTCAACAAAAGAATGAGATATAAAGAATAAATGACATGAAATATGATATAATATCTTATCTTATAGATGGACGGACATGAAGATAATCGATATTTCCGTATACCTTCCATCGTTCTCTTTCTCGTTATTATATAACATGTATATATACGCACACACTTATGCATAAAAAATTATGTTTACGTATGTGTGTATGTATACATACGCCCACGCATACACTCACAATTATATATAAATAAACTTAGATTACTGTTTTGTACTCAAATCCTTTATATGCCCTTTTGTCCTCGATCACGAAAAAGAGAATACAAAACGACATGAAACATCTTACTAGTTAACTATCCAGAAAAATAAAAACAAAATAAAAGATAAAACACAATGACTGTTTTGCAGTGAGTCTCGTCGTGTGGCTCGGCGATTACTCAAGTCGGCTGCCGTTCTTACTAAAAATATACATTTTTCGAATAAAGCTTTTCTCTCTCAGCGCAATTTGTTTCAACATAAGAATGTACAACATGTGCGCTATGAATGATAAAATGAATTATATATATATATATATATATATATATTATTAAACACTTTACTCGGATGAATTTCACAAGAGTCATTTGTAACTTTGAAAGGGTTTGTTGTATACGTGCGCATGTGAGTGTGAGTGTGCGTGTATGAGTCATGGATATACCGAAAAACAAAAAATCTTTCAACACCTGAACAAGGTAAAACCTCTTTAGGCAGAACAATTTCTAGCTAACTGTGTCTAATTGTATTTTCATTGCTCTGACTGATTTATGCACGGGGTATGATTTTAAAATAAAGTCTTACTTTCGTGCATTTTTTTTATTAAAAATTCTTTTTACTTCGGTAGATAAGTTATTGTTACTTCGAGGTAGTTTTTCTCTATATCTTATTCGATTCTACCTAAGAAAATCAGAGGTAACTGCGAGCGAAAAGATAATTATTATGCGGTAGTCATTTAGCTGAAAAAAAAGTTTTTTAAATAAAATAATTCAGTCATGTTCTTCTCTTTCCGAAAGTGTTGCATTCGATTTATGAATATTTTAAACTAAACTATTAAATAAATTGTAAATCAATTTTTTTTAAATTCGTATATTTACCTTCATAAAAGCTTGATTTTGAAAATTTTACAAAATAAATTCAAAGTTCTTCCGCATTGTTGACCGAACTAGTACAGAAGAAAAATTTTAATCTACAACAAACATGAAAATGTTACGTATATGTGTGTATATATTATATATATGTATCGGAGAATAAAAAATTAGATGAAACTTTTTACTTCGGCAATAAACCTAAGATACACTACACTAACTTTTTACGAAAATTTTCCCTAAAAAATACAACATTACTATCTAATATGCAGTTGCGCATTGAGAATCGTATTTCAAATACTAAACTACACAAAAAAATTCGATAATGATAAAATAATTGTAAACAATTTTTTTCATACTTACCTAAACCTTTCAAGTATGCGTTCTAATGACATGAGTTGAGAGAAATTCATAGTACACACGTTAATAATTTTAAAATATTTCTAATTGATTATTCGTAATTATTTATTCAATATTTTTCTCAAAAATACCGTCAATCTGTTGAAATTCTGCTTTCTACTTTTTAAATTATAATCCATTTTTCTATACGAGAGAACTGAATGAATAACTAAACAAATTTGAGAAAAACTGCTTTTCATGCAATATGATTAATAAAAAATGTATGATAAATATATACTCGGTGTTTTAAGATTAAAGAATAAGATTTTTGATGGTATGATAATATTACTATGAATTTCTCGTTATGAAGGTATTTGATGAAACAAATGAGAATTCATCGTTGATATAAAAATATTGACATGGATTTTTAATTAATTTAATTAAATGGACTTATACTTGAATTTTAAAGTCATTTCTTATATATAAAGACTGTTTACTATGTATACATATACCAATTATATAAATATGCCATGAAAGTATCTTTTTAATGCCACGAGAATTTTACTCGATTCTCAATCTTAAAAACCATATCAAAAAAAACTAAGAACATGCTAATTTATATGATGAGTGAAAAAAAGTTATAACTTCGTATCCCTGTCACAGCATCATAATAAAAATTTGAGTATAAGTTCTGATTGTCTACTATTCAATCTTCGTCCCCTGTGATTACGAAGTCCACGAGTTAGTTGAACTTTCTACTGTAGAGCATGTTTGTTTATCTATCGGGTAATAATTTTTCTTTCGATATGTACCTCATAAATTGAATTCGTTTTCGAATCCTAAGACCTTGGTGTTTAAATATTAATGATTACAACATTGTAAGGCAAATGACACATTCATTGTTCTGTTGCAATGAAAACTGGCAGTTAAGAGTGTTATGTCAAAATGATTACAGAAAAATGTACTGGAAAATTGGCTTATTTTTAGAGTTTTAAAACTACGTGACATGTGAATAACAAAAAAATTACCAGAGTGTATGACAAAAAGGTGTATGAATGCGAAAATGAATTGTAAACCATTATTTGAATATACTACATTTTTTAAACTTAAAACAATTGCGATAGATGAGAGAACCAATAAAAAAATCAAAAGTGGCAATGAACAAATTTGATACAACAAAGACCCGTTACTGCTCGCTAAGTACTCTGCAAGCATACAAAATTTCGGGTATTGGTATCGGATCTGTAAGAACAGAAAAATAAAAAGATATAAGCGATAAAATGATGGAATAAATGGAGAGAAAATATAAATATTATCAGAACAGAATTGTATGAGGTGCAGGCGAAATCGCCATGAAAAATACATTTCTGAATTTTCTGCGACTCATTACATCATTTTGATTTGTTTCAATCGTTAAAAAATCGCTCGTGCTCTCTATCTTTTGAGTGGCACAGTGTGAGAAACAAAAAAAAATAACGTCAGACTTCGGGGAAAACGTTTTTTTATGTTGGCACAGGAGATATTATATTACACTATTATAATAAGAAGGAATAGTCGTAAATCAATAAAACACTATTGTGCCGTATCGCAAGCTGGAAAAAGTAATCGTCGTTTACGCTGTTTTTTCTACCTCTCTTTTAGGGAATAGCGTGATTTTTACAATATTGCTCTTAATAAGTGCGTATACATAAAGGATAATGAAAATAATGAAAGCATGTGCGTGAACAAATATTTCGTAAACGACGAAAAAATAATGATTTTCAAAAAAAAACTGAGAGGCAAAAATGTGTATGATTAACAAAAACTAAAATAATCAACAGATCGATAATGACGATGAAAAAAATTTGAGCGTGCAATGTTGTGGAGAAATTATTAGTACGACCGTGCAGCTTGTAATGTGCTGTGTACAAAGATGACGTTCAATTTGGCTGCTTTTCTTCTTGTGTGCATGATCGCGCGCGAAAAACCTCGTGGCATCCAATCGCGCAAAAATGCGCGTCAATCCACAAAAAGCATCGAGGCAGCAGCAATCGGATTATTCATTTAATGAATATATGTTGCTCGACAAAAAATGCGCTCGATAATTGACGGTCCGAAACATAAAATGAAACTTTAATTATAAATATATTCATATACATGCAAAGTATATACAAAAGACGTGAATGAAAGAATACAATTATACGAATGAATTACATACGATAATATCTCCTCTTTCTTCTCACTATGACATAAAATATAAATGAAATAATTCATTCTATCTCTCTTTGCTACCAAGTTGTACTTATTCGTAACTAATTTACTTGTACAAAAATGTGTTAATAATAAATATATAATATATAATATAAAAATTAATTTGGTTTCAATTATTTCTTATCGAAAACCTACTCTAATTTTTACAGTTTGAGTTACATTGACACTAAATCATGAATCGTATTATCAATAATATTTTAATAATTTTCTTAAGTATCTAGTCAATTTTAGACTTACTTTGCGTGCGTCTAAATTTTGGTGGGTATAAAATTCTATCGTGATAATATACATAATAGAAAAATATAGCACTAGAAAAACGAATGTTAATACATTGTTAATACATGGTAGAACTATATCTTCAATTGCGAACAGGTCTTTTCTAGGTATATTTTTTCATAATTAAAAAATCATTCATTATTAATACTGGTATTTTCCGGTGTTCAAACCTATTTTTCACTCTTGCAGCATTACACATCATCTAGTATTTTCACAATTTAAACAAATTTATGCTGTAAATTTAATTTTATATTGTTAAAATAACGTCGAAATTCTCACCAACTGACTACAGGTTTAACTAAAGAAGTACCCAAATGATTATTAGATCCAGAGATAGATTAGATGTTGAATAAAATACTCCTGAAATGTATCCCTTGATGATCTTTTTTTCTGAAAGAATCACTGATGTGGCCTTTCTCGACTGGTTGGAATAACTTCGGAGTAGCATCACTGTTTGTCATTTTTATATCGCTGCTCGGTATTAATCCGCCATTTTAGAAATATTTTTTTTCAATTTCAAACTTATCTTTTTCATTGAGATACGGTTATTTCCGTGAACTGTTTTTACAAAGTACCAAGGTTTCATTGTGAAACATCAAGTTTTCTATAATAAATTTTTTAAACTAAAAAATGATATTTCCTCTCGTTTCATTGCTAATCTCTCTTCACAGACGGAAATTGCCATAGCATCAAGCTGATACTGTCAATTATTTTATTTCAAGTTGAAGTTTAAATAATAATATACATCTATTGATTGTAATAAATTTCATTAATAACAATATCTACCATTTAATTCACTATTTAACGATTATTATTAGTACCAAGAATGCGTTCAAAATTTTGGCGCTCCGACTGCTTGTTTCAGCTTTGCGCCACCCGCGGCGCTAAGATGTTTTTTAGATTATAGACTTGCGCAGTACGCAGTACACGGCTACGACGCCACACGGTCTAAGCTAGCCTTGAATATGTTTTAGTATAGTCTGCTGGCCTGGCGTAGTAGGTGCACGGTGCCACTGGCCACAAGCAAAGAGTATATTATTGTGTGCATCATTCAATCGTTCAGTAGCAAGTTGTTTATTGTGCAAAATTGTGAATGAAATAAAAACAGTTCAGAGTGAAGTAATATCGTTGTGTCGAAAATGTCGGCAAACGAAAGTGTGTATCGGTTAGAAGGCAGTGATGACACTGAAATTGGTGGGTTGATCGTAACCAAGAAACAAACATCTGATCACGTTTTCAAAAAACCTCAGACATCGATATTGGGCCTCGATAAACTTGCTGAGCAAAAGCGCAGAGAAAATTCTCTTGAACCTAAAACTTTAAAAAGAGATGATACTGAACATGATTCTAAAAAAAGAAAATACCGAACTTATGCCGAGGAAACACCAACTTACACGGGTGGTGTTGATAAGCGCGCAAAAGAGAGGTTGGATTACAGGATAAACCGAAATCATCGTGACAGAAGAAGAGATCGAGATGCAAGAAGTCCTGGTAAAGACAAGCGTCGCGACAGGGATCGTAGAGGAGATCAGAGCAGTCGAAGAGACAGAACTCCAAGATTTAGTGACGAGCCATCTACACCAAGTTATTACAGAACAAAGGTTTGTATTGCTTTATATGAAATTTCTCTGTTACCATCTAATATAAATTAAATAACTGATATATTTACTTAATTGTAATTGTAGGATGGAACGTCAAAATCATCATGGGACGATGAAGATGAATTTGGTACACCTAGAAGAAGGTCAACTTGGGATCATCCTACACCACATTTGTACAGAGATGTTAGGGACAGTGTAAGAAGTGAGTTTACGCCATCTTACAAGTATAACTCCTGGGAAAGAGAGAGAAAAAAATCAGGTGCTACTCCTTTAATAGAGCAAGAAGACAGAGATGCTTGGGAGCAAGAGCAAAGAAGGTAAGAATAGCCATTATGTATTTCATAAAATAATTATTCAAAATTGCTATCTTGTTTTATTTGATTTTCATCTTTACTTTTCTGTTTTCAGACTTGATAGAGAATGGTATAACTTAGGAGATGAAGAGACCAGACGCTTTGGAGATGTATCCGAAGAATATGATCTGAAAAAAGAGCAAGAGCTGGTAGAAAAAAAGAAGAAAAGAATGTCTGCACAACAACGACAAATAAATAAAGATAATGAAAAGTGGGAACAAAATCGAATGTTCACTTCTGGTGTGGTTAGTTCTATGTTTATAGATGACGAAGTTGATGACGAAGGAGAAGCTAGAGTGCATCTTCTTGTACATAACGTTGTGCCTCCTTTCCTAGATGGTAAGTTTATTTTAATTTTATGAGATAAATTAATTTTTCTGACATAATTGTATGAAATCTCTAATTTTTTTTTTCTTTCATTTAGGTCGTATTGTTTTCACCAAACAGCCAGAACCTGTGATACCAGTGAAAGATGGAACATCTCCAATGGCTCTGGTATCTAGGAAAGGTTCCCATTTAGTACGTTGCTATCGAGAGCAAAAAGAGCGAAGAAAAGCTCAAAAAAAGCATTGGGAGCTAGCTGGAACAAACCTTGGAAACATCATGGGTGTAGAAGATTCCAAGAAAAAAGATCGAGAGGCTCCTGGTGAATTATGTGATTATAAAACTGGTCAAAAATATGCAAGCCACATGGGTGATCATGTCACTCAATCTAAGTACAAAAAAATCCAAGAACAAAGGAGAAGCCTGCCCGTTTTTGGTGTTAGGCAAGAGCTACTGAATGTAATAAGAGAAAACCAGGTGGTCATCATTGTAGGAGAAACTGGTAGCGGTAAAACCACTCAATTAACACAATACTTACATGAAGAAGGATATAGCAGAAATGGGATGATAGGATGCACTCAACCCAGAAGAATTGCTGCCATGAGCGTAGCCAAGAGAGTATCCGACGAAATGGATTCCAATCTTGGTAGCAAAGTGGGATACGCTATACGTTTTGAAGATTGCACATCAAAAGAGACCGTTATAAAATACATGACAGACGGTATTTTGCTACGTGAAAGTTTACGCGAGGGTGATCTTGATCGATACAGTGTAATTATAATGGACGAAGCTCACGAGCGCTCATTATCAACCGATGTATTGTTTGGTCTTCTCAGAGAGGTCCTAACACGTCGTCACGATCTCAAATTAATCGTTACGTCTGCAACTATGGACTCGTCTAAATTTTCATTCTTTTTCGGAAATGCAGCCACTTTCAAGATTCCAGGACGAACTTATCCAGTCGAAATCATTCATCAGAAAGATCATGTCGAGGATTACGTTGACGGAGCTGTGAAACAAGTGATGCAGATTCACTTGCAGCATCCGAGTGGAGACGTATTGGTCTTTATGCCTGGTCAGGAGGACATCGAAGTCACCTGCGAAGTATTGAAGGAAAGACTGAACGAAATCGAAGGTGCTGCGCCACTTTCAATTTTACCAATTTACTCGCAATTGCCGTCCGATTTGCAAGCCAAGATTTTCCAACAGGCCACTGAAGGATTGCGCAAGTGCGTGGTTGCCACCAATATTGCCGAAACGTCGCTCACGGTCGATGGAATCGTTTTCGTCGTCGATTCCGGCTACTGCAAGCTTAAAGTATACAATCCTAGAATAGGTATGGACGCTTTGCAAATCTATCCGGTTTCTCAAGCGAACGCGAACCAACGTAGTGGTCGTGCGGGACGTACAAATCCAGGCCGATGCTTCCGTTTGTACACACAACGCCAGTATCTCGACGAGCTTCTCGTTACGAGCGTGCCCGAAATCCAACGAACGAACTTGGCAAACACTGTATTGCTGCTCAAGTCACTGGGCGTTCAGGATCTTCTGGCTTTTCACTTTATGGATCCACCGCCCCAAGATAATATTCTGAACTCGTTGTACCAGCTGTGGATTCTTGGTGCTCTCGACAATACGGGTCAACTTACTACCCTGGGACGTCAAATGGCCGAGTTTCCTCTTGATCCACCCCAGTGTCAAATGTTGATAGTGGCATCTAATCTTGGATGCACAGCCGAAATTTTGATAATTGTATCAATGCTATCGGTTCCTTCGATATTTTACCGGCCTAAAGGTAGAGAGGAGGATTCTGATTCAGCGCGTGAAAAGTTCCAAGTCCCGGAATCAGACCATTTGACATACTTGAATGTTTACAACCAGTGGAAATCGAATGGATATTCTAGCTCATGGTGCACAGAACATTTTATTCATGCCAAAGCAATGCGAAAGGTGCGCGAAGTCCGTCAACAACTAGAGGAAATTATGAAGCAGCAAAAGATGGATATTGCCAGTTGTGGTACAGAGTGGGATATCGTTCGCAAATGTATTTGTTCAGCTTATTTCCATCAAGCAGCTCGTCTCAAGGGCATCGGCGAATATGTCAATTGCCGCACTGGTATGCCCTGCCATCTCCATCCAACCTCTGCTCTGTTTGGAATGGGTTTCACGCCTGATTATGTAGTTTACCATGAACTAGTCATGACATCAAAGGAATACATGCAGTGCGTCACTGCCGTCGATGGATACTGGCTAGCTGAGCTTGGACCTATGTTCTTCAGCGTTAAAGAAACAGGTAAAACTGGTAAAGCTAAAAAACAAGCCCAACAACACTTAGAAGAGATGAATGAACAAATGAAAAGAGCAGATGCCGAAATAAAGGCTCGTGAAGCCGAAAAAATTTTGAAGGAGCAGGCGTCTGTCAGAAAACAAGAGATATTGACTCCTGGATTAAAAGAACCAGGCACTCCTGCTTCATATAGAAAAACGCCGAAACGCATCGGACTGTAAATATTTAAAGTATTTAAGAATTAAAGCAGTTAAAAATATTTAAGTGCAAGTTGTGAAATACATTGATTATTTTGAGCTAGCCAGAATTCTTTGTAAATAAACTAACGTTTTATATTGACTTAAAATATATGTGTACATATACTATTATTTTGAAATCTTTCAAATAAAGAAAAACATGTTCTGATGAAATATTTGTATAATTTTTTTGAATATAATATCTACATGTAAAGTTCAGAAAGATAAATAAAAATATTTATTTTTATAAAAATATATTTTTTTATTTTAAAGTTACATAAAGACTGTTTTTCCATAAAAATATCAAATGATTAGAAATGGATTTATATAAGTTAATTTTTTACTTTTACCACCGTATAAGGCATTCAACAAGTACCATCTTAAGGGTTTGTTTTCACTGGTTGAGAATTTTTATTTTACAAGTTCACACAACATTGATAGAAGATGTGATGTCATCGTCTTTACTAAGCTGCCAGCTCATGAGTAATTGTAAAGTATAAGGCAGTAAAATGCATATTACTATGTATAAGTAATAAGGAATTGGCTGAGTGGAACCAAAGGGCCAAAACCATAAGCCTCTTCTATTACCATCTCGAACATGATGACTTAAAAAGCTCGCCAATATCATTGTACCATAAGTTATCCATTTCGATGCATGAGTTATCTTGTACAAGAAACTCATTAATCCCCACAGAAATATTGGTATTGTAGTACAATGTAAGAATGGTCTGTGGCGAAGGTGAGTGGCATCCTAATAAAACAATCAATTTATCATATGTGGACATAAGTAACTTTTCACCACTAATTTCAATCACAACTCACGTTAATGTCCCAACTACTGGCCGCTATGAAGTGATCAATGTCAATAAACGATGACATAAAAAAGCAAATTATCACATTTTCGATATTTTCTATCACAGATTTTTTAAACAAAACTAAAATTAAAGCCCAAGTGGCCCCTCCTACGATCGCATGTGTCAAATTGTCAGAAATCGCTCGTACGATTTCGGTTTTTCCATAGTGCAAACCTAAGTCTCCGAGAAATGAAACAAAAGCAATAACACTCGTAAAAAATAGCCGTAACAATAATCCCTGCTTAATTATTGACATCATTGAGTTACAGTCATGTAATCGTCAATAACTGTTGTACGTTTCACTATTTTTAACCTAGAAAAATAGAATGTAAACAAAGCGTTTGACATATTAAAGTCACGAATGTCATGATGAACTGATTTTATAAGTAGAGATTTTGAAAGGCTTTTCAAATTATTTTACACGTTCTTTCTTGGAAACATAAGACTTTAAATCGGGTTTGCACTCAAGCCCGGTAAAAGTAAAGCGCAGATATTTGTACTACAACAAAGAACTTGTAAGTCAAATAATGTAATGCTTGCGACTAGTTGACAAAAGACACGTTTGTATAATCATAAAATTTTGCTCGTAATTGTAAAAGCTTTATAAAAATAATTTGAATCTAAATGTTTAATGTCATGTTTGAAGATCTCCTTCGATTGTTTAGATAGATCTTCATTTTAGCTGTCAGTTTGTCTTATGCTTATTAAGTTTAGTCAAGTATGTCAAATGCGCACCTTCATGACGCATCTGACCACGTGCCTTCAAGATTAAATGTAAAAGGAATTCATATCATTTGTTTTGATACTTCTCAATTCATATTGTTATTATTGCGTTCAATGCCGTGATCACTATTTTAATTTATTATTATTCCTATTTTTATTCTTTTGTCTTTGTTCAATATTCAAAAACTACTCTTAGGGGATGTCTATAGACGTCACTATCAAATTTATGTTGTAGTACACTAAATGTGAACAATATTGCTCTGATTATAAAAACAAGAGAATTTTTTTGAAAAACATTTATAATTAACGAAATCCCAGTAGTAATTTACTAATTTTTAATGACTTTAAATTTTTCAGATTGAATTGTATAATAATATTATTATAGATTCAGTTTATTATCGATTTTTATAAAAACATATACTTCTAGGAAAATTAATGTGTTTAATATAGAATATTAAATAAAACTGGCACTGACTATTTTATATCAATTTTTATTGTATTATTTTTGTTGTCAAATATAGACAAATTAATACTAGATCTAATTTTGGCTGATTGATAACGATGAGGTTTTCGAGTTCACTAAAAATTTGCATAAGTCATAACACTCCGATTTATATTTGTAAAACCAATCTTGAAAGCTAGGGATCTCAAATATTTGCGATGTATTATTGACAAAAAAATTATAGGCCACTTTTTTAACTTCCTCTAAATCATCTTTAAATTTAGTACATAAAAATAAAACATCCACAAAATTTCCTAAATTTATACTTTCACAAAGGTAATTTCTATAAGTTTCCTCTTGAACCATATGCTGCTCGTATTTCTTGAAAAAAGAATTTAAAGTCTTCATCAATCCATCTATATCATACAATTTAGCGAACTTATACAAACTGGTAGAATTACTAAAATTTAAATTGAAAATCAAAAATTCTAGACATTTGGCTTTTAAATCTTCTATCTGATATTTATCTGCAACAGCATAAAGATCTTGGGGATGCTCGATCGGGATCTTTATTTCATCGGTGTACATGAATCTGATCATTTCATCTATCACATCAGCTTCAAAATCTTCAATTTTTACGATTTTTGTATCGTTTTCTTGTACTTCATGTTTGAACATTGCTGCAAAAACATCACTCTTCGAAGATAATATTTCTTTGTGGACTGGAAATTTTTCACTGCCAACAACTAAGCTAATGCAACTTGTATTTTTAAATGACCAATTGTAAGAATTTCGTAAAATTGGAAACAAATCATTCACTGTAATATTATCATTTGAGATCAATCTGCTAATACTGAAACAGACATGCCGTAATTTTCTACAATTACGTGGAAGTTCTTGAGTTGGAAATTGAATTACTTTATCAGTTCGAATTTCATGTAAAATTCGTGGAAAATTGACATGTATTTCATCGCCGTCATTTTTTTTCACAAGAGCTCTAAGTTCTATTTTATATTCATACTTCTGCGTAGAATCGGCATAAACTTCGTGAACATAATTATCAAAAGTAGCTATCAAATCTAAATTTAGTTCGTTTAAGATGGATGTGTACGATGGATCCGAGTCAGAATCAGACATGGTTCCATCCTCACTCTCAATGAAACAATTGTCGTAGAATTTCAATGTAAGTTTAATATCTTCTTCTGGATTCTGTTTTAGTTTTAGTGTTTTTGTCGGCAATAATTTAGTATATCTTGAAGGGCGATTTGATAAAGATTTTGAGACTTCAACAATATTTGCAACGAAACATTCACTGCTTCCAGACATTATTTCTGCGTTCACTAATTTTCTATTGAGAACCGAAAACTGATTGATTTATAAGTCGGATTACACGTCATATGTATACAAATACCTGTTCGCTAATCGTTTCTGACACGATCGTAGCGCCTTTATTACTTATAGCGGCAACCTAGTGATTTCAATGAAAATATCATGTGGCCTAGTATTTATACGTTTAGCTATTCGTTGATCAGTAGAATAAAAATTTTTTCGATGTCGATTCAATTTTTCAGAGTCAGGGCTGCACGACGTTTCGTGATACGAATATTACTCTGTGAGCGTTAAAGGCCTATTCATTTTTAACTTCATTAAACCTACTCAAATTATTTATAAACCCAAAATTATTTTAATCAAACGTGATTTGTTACAAATAATGAGCGAATTGAATTTAAAACAGGCTAGCTTTTTGTCGGCGCGCCTTACATGCCTTGACAAATTGATCAAATTTTATCGTTCTTCATGATAAAATATCACTTACATATTAATATTTTGTAATATTTTCAAATATATAATTCAATAAAAAGATCTGATTCATCATTTCGAATTTTGATTTCCTCATCTACGCTGTATTTTTTTGTTTTTGATTTCCTTTTTTATGCATACTTCGTCGACAAGCCACTATCGCACCTCACGATTACATCAAGACTTAGTTTTTTTTTTTAAAGAAAACAGATAATGATACAGTTCGGACAATTATGGTATATAATTCTGTACTTAAAGGAAGTTCTGGGAATTTTAGGAATGATAAATGAAATTCTTAAAAATTGATAAATTGAAACGTGTTTAATCGTTTATTTCAAAAGTAGTACATTGAAAGTTTAAATGCAATATTGAATTTAATTTGATGGATTCATATTTTTGTGCAACTATATCGATTTTCAATAAATAATACAATTTTCTAAAATCTCTAAATACTTAAAATCGTTGAAAACATATAATTTGAACGAGACTTGTATTGTAAAATTTGGCCACTTCGACCATCTTAATAATTCTATATTTTATATGTATACGTATATACATACATGAAACTTTTATAATATAGTAATATAATAATAGAATGTTATATCTTATAAATTGTAAATATTATCACATTCAGATTGTATAAGTCGTTACATGTATTTGTATGAACATGTTTCATAAAAATGGTATCGTTATACTTCATGTATTATATGTATATATTGGACAAATTTTGTGACGATCGGTACGTTCTGTATGAAACAAAAATGTATTGTCTAGAATTGCATCGTAACATATTTGAATATTAACAAATTATTTTCAAAACCAGAACTATTCAAGTACCCAAAAATTCCAGATAAAATATGCAAAATTGATCACACAAAACTAGTGCGTTTCCTTTTCAATGAAATATTCATCTCTCACGTTTAATTTAATAACTTGAGAATATTAAATGTATTTAATAAATAATTATATCCATATATAATTTGTGTTACATTATATATTTATAATTATGCTTAAATATTATGTAAGAGATCGATTGATCGACTCATACGTGTTCAAAGGCAAGTTTTTGTTAACGTTTAGTAATATTAATATTTAATATTATATATTTTCGTTGTGAACATATGTTGCACACATTCATATATAGTCTTGTAAAGTTTAAAATTTAATGTACACGGTGGTATGTTTACATCCTTTTTTGTAACGAATCTGAAATAATGAATTTGAACAATTCACAGATCTGATCTAGTATGTTATATTCAAAGAAAAAATTAAATTTTATTTGGATCAAAATTATGTCATTAAATAAAATTATTATAAAATTTATTCATAAAAATTTGAATTATTATGCTTAGCTTTAGTCAAAGCTAATTTTGCTTTGAATTATATTACTCTGCATATACCTTATTATTTTCTCGGGTTTAGAATATTATAGGAATACCAAAGCCAAGGTAAATCTGTCAATCTTTAAAGGTGTTTTTCAAGTTTTCTATTCATCACATTTTTAAAAAGATACGTCACACACTTAATTTTTATTCTATACTCATTTTTACCTTGGCATTAGTACTCCTTCAAAAAGAGAAAATAAATTTATTGAAAAAATATGAAGTACCACAATTTTTTGTATTACACATTACACACATTATTAAACATTAGACTGATGAACATTAATTCGTAGTGACTGTATTTAAACCTTAAAACTATTTTTATTTTACACTGATCGATGTATTTCGTTCGATTAAAATCGCAGTACCACTGATACTTTTTAGGACTTATTATCATGTATGAATTATTTATAAGAAACAATATAATATTGATGTAGATAAATATATAGAATAGTAATTTGTCCAGATTATATCTTAATGTTCTGGTATATTGACAGAAAAATATTGGTTTAATGTATGGATACTGTTTGTAGTAGTATTAGTCAATAGTTAAGAGAGTTGTCAATTGATTTTAATAAGAACAAAATGTTAACCGTAATATTTGAAACTTGAAAATAACTCGTATTATATTCCATCAAAAATTTGCCATTTTCAGATGAATTTTACGTTAAGATGAAATGGAAAAACATAAAAAAAAGACATTAGCTCTCCTAAAAATTAATTAATTACAAAGGTTTTTTCAAATAAATTTTCGCATCAAGTAGAATTTTTATAGGTAGCGTGAGTTATCAAAAAACTCAATATTTGTATTGGTTTATTTATCTATGTAAGCAAATAATTTACAACCCAACTGCTGTGAGTTATACTTTCACTTTCACAGGTATTGAAATTTTCCGTTGATCTGTGAAATTTCTTTCGAATAATACTGACAAGGAGACAATTCCATCTCTGAGTCACAAACCCTCAGCCAAATTATTTTGAAATCTCGTGATAATTAATAATGAAGCTCCGTATTATTTGTTTGTGACATTTTATTTCGAAAAGAAACAAAATTTTTTATCAATTTTAAAATTGTATTGTTCTTTACATTTCCTTCCTAAATTCGTTTCTTTTCAAGTTAAAAATTGCAAAGATTGTTCCAAAAAAGAATAATAATTTTTCTAATGAAGCTCAAGCACTATGAGTAAGCATAAGGGGATTCATTATTTATTACCGGAGATCACAAAAAAATTTGTCAAGGATCTGCGATCTGGAAGTGGAACGGTTTCGTTGTGAGTGATATCGTACCGATATTTGTACATCAATATTTACTTAATTGTAAAATAAAAAGTGCTTCAGTCTTTTAAAATAAGTATTGGCATATTTCACATAAATAAATCACAGACGTGGAATGACTTAGTTTAGGCCTTAGTTACTTCAAATTAATTGATCGTATAGTTATAGATACCAGGTAATAGTTTTTCACAATGTTACTTTTAATGTTTTGCTTAATATTAATATGTGCAAAAATCTTTTACGCATACTTACGAATGTGATTTATAATCGGTACATTATTTGTTTTATTTTTCAGTTGAGAAACATGAAAAGTTTTAGAGCTCAAAGCTTAACTTACTTGGTTCGAAAGGAAAGTTTAGTATAGCATATTTATCATGCTTTTATTAGTATAAATTTGGTGAATTAAGTTCCAGTTAAACTGTAACTAATGTTTATTTAAAAATATAGACCTTTATTGTAATTTTAAAAGTGTTTCTCAGAGAAGCATAATATATCACCCAACGATCACAATTAATATCAATTATCAAAATTCGTATTACATTAGCATTATTCAATCGTGTTAGTAATTATAGCATATACATATTCTCGTGAGTCGTTCATTAATAATATACTTTAACAACAATTGCACGTGCGATTGGAAATATTTCAGCGGAAATCATCAATCGGACGGATGGGTACAAATAACATTTAATTATCGTAAGGGATTTCTTAAAATGTATTTATTCTTTTAGACTCATCAGATAATTGTCGCGTAATAAAAAACTAACGATCGTGACTAGTAAAATTTATTTATATTCTCAAACATTAATCAATAAATGTATCTTTGTTATAGATGTAGAATCGATTCTTTCTACCTTCGAGAGAATAAACTTTTAAGGGATATTTTTAGAGCAAAAGTTTGCACTGGAAAAAGATACTTTTGTGCTATTATTTAATTCGATGGTTAGACGAATTTCCATCTATCTTCAGATGAGTACTTCATATGTACCAGGACCGAAGGAAATTCATTGAAAAATAAACAAATAAATGCATAAGGTAGCTCCCCGAGAACGAAGCTCGGAATCGTTGCAAACCGAAATGACCAAGTACCATTAAAGCAATTTTTAGCCGAATATTGACTAATTAATTGTACTTCGTCGGTCATTTGTTTATTGCATTTCAGTCTCCGATTCAGTTATTTTCAAAAATTTCCATTTAATTTAATCGACGGAATAAGCTTACGAATTTTTACATCACATATTGACTTCTTTGCAGCTTTAACAAATGCGTACAATGGCATACGAGAATGCTCAAGGAAAAACAACGATTTAATTAACAATATACAACTTTAATATTTACGTTAATGCTCGACGTGCGGTCAATAGCAGGATCCTTGGTAAGCGGGTGCGAGATACCAATACTGCAATCTTAAGTTACCGTCGAAGTTTCAGGCGGATCTTCCTGCAGCTGCATGGTCGTGTCGGGGTCGACGCCAGCGATTCGTTCACTGGTCTCGTTGTCGCCGTCGATGCGTTCGTTGGTTTCGTGGTCGTTGTTGCCGTCGCTGTTGTCGTCGTCCACGTAATTGTCGCGCTCGTCCGCAACGTCGAGTTCGTTGCCGTCGTTGTTCGGATTATCGTCCGCGTCTCGTTCGTCGTCGTCGTCGTTTTCGTCGTTGCTCTCGTCCGCGAGGCTCGCGAGCTTCGAAATGTTGAACATGCCACGCGGGCTGAAAGTGTCGCAAAAAAGATTCTCCTTCTTGTGGACCCGACGGACGTGGCTGCGCAAATTGTCCCTGCGGGCGCTTCTGTAGGCGCAATGTGGACACAGATGTGGCTTCTCGCCGGTGTGCATGCGCCGGTGCTGAATCAACTGTCGACAAAACAAGCGGTTCGAGTGTAAAGTTTAAACGAGGCGAACAAGGAATAAAGTTACTCGCGCAACATGGACGTACTTTTTTCAGCTGCACGGTGCGAAATATGCATATGTCGCAGCAAAAGTAGCGGTTGTCCCGGTGGCGGCGCATGTGCTTGCTGAGATCGAGCTCGGACGATCTGTCGGCGCCGCAGACGGCACAGCTGAGCCGCGGCATCTGACCGGCGTCGGCGGTTCCTCGAGCGTGGGCGCGCAGGTGTCGCTGGAAGGCCTTCTCGATGGTGCACGCGTACGGGCACAGGTAGCATCGGTACTCCTCTCTTTCGTATCTGTCGGAAACAAAGCCAAATAAGTAGTTGTATACGATGAACGTCGCTCGCTTTCCATACTTACCGAACTCGCTGCAGTGCCAGAGTTCGTTTCTTGCCCTCGGATAAAGAAGCAGCGGGACTCTTTCCATCGAGCGATCGCAATTTCCCGTCCGCATTGACGGTGGCTTTTTTTCGGCGCCGCGAGGCGACTTTGCCCGATTTCGCGTTCGTTTTTCGCTTGGCGCTGCTGCTGTTGCTCGGGCTGCTCTCCCTCGATCGGCTGCGAACGAACGCGCGCGATGATCGTATGCTTATATACTCGTATCTCAAGCAATCGGAGCTTATACTCACTGCAAAGCATCGAGGTAGGACGAGTGGCCGCTTTCGGAGCCGCTGCGACTGTCCGAGGTGAGGTTCGAGCGCGAGTTGAGGAGCGCATCGTCGAAGGAAGCCGCCGCCGCCACGAACGACAATCTGCCCAGCATAGTCGTGTAGGCGTTGAGGAACCAACTGCTCAAGACGTTCGGCACGCCTTTGTCCTTCTGCAAATCGTTCATCCACGTCCGAATCAAACCTAGGTCGCGATAAAAGTGAAACGAGTTCACGAGGGAATAATTACCCAACTTTCGGCGCTGGCCTCGTCGTCCGGGTTGTCGTCCTCTGTCCTATCGGCAGCAACAGCAGCAGTGGCAGAGTCGATCGGCGTCTCGTCGTCGGCCCCATCGTCCTCGTCGTTCTCCAGCTTGACGTTGACTTCGCTCGGTTCCTGCTTTATCGTCGTCGTCGTCGTCGTCGTCAGCTGTTCTTTGTCGGGTCTCGTCGTAGTCGTCTCCTCGGCGTCGTCCAGGTCCTCGTCCGGCGGCTCGGACTTCCAGGCCATGGGCTCGGGCGCGCCGCCACCGCTGCCGATCGTGCTCGCCGCCGATCGCAGCTGGCCCAAGAGCAGAGCCGCACTGCCCGGAAACTGATAGGCCGCCGCCGCGGCCATGTGCTGCCCGTAGAGCGTCTCGAGCCAATTACCGGCACTCATGAGGCTGCAGGCCGAGCCCTCGCCGCTGCTGCTACTGTTGCTGCTGCTGCTACTGGCGCTGTTGCTTCTGCTTCCGTCTCCTCGCATTCTGATCTCATATTCCATCTGTCGTCAATGGAAACGCACATAATGTTTCAGCGCTCGGTCAATATCCTTTCCATCCGCACATAACGCTACATAAGCTCGAGCGAGCGAGCGAATTCGGATCAATTGGCGCGCTCGCCGAGAGTGTAAAAATATACCCTGAACTACTTTCCAGCAATGACGCGAGAATGAATATTTTACGAGGCGAGAGCGCGAAACTTGGAGTACTTCGGTCGTAGTGCAGCGAGGAATACCCGATCAGTGCCGCGTTAGCCGAGCAACGAGCGCAGTTTGTTTAGCGATGGAGAAATCAGCGTACACGAGTCTATTGATTTTTCAACTTAGTCCTAGAGCGTAAAAAATTTAAAAAAGGTAAAAATAACGCATCGTGGTACGGAGTAGTCTCTCGCTGGCGGTCAAAGCGCATTAGGAATGCTGCATACGTCTCTTTCAGAGATTTTATTGTATCGATCTGCAGAGCATCTTGGCCTTTTACAGCTCAAACTCGTTTTTATTTTATTACAATGATGCACGTTTACGTGCGTGCGCGCGCCCGTTGAGCAATGGCTTGCACGAGTGCCAAGGCGCCCGGCTGACTAAATCGCGCTCGTACCACTGAAACGTTCCCATCGTTTCCCTTCGCGTAGCTCCATCATAAGCTCGACGCGTCGGTACATGAATTTTAAAATCGAAGAGGGACCGTATAATCAGAATTTGTTAATGCGTAATTATCGATAAAATTACGAGGGCCGCGAAGAGACAAGGACTTTTGCGCAGCGCGCTCGCGCTCGTACGGAATTTTCATACAGAGAGCTCGATCATCGTGGCGGGAATTGTCTGCGAAATGGCTGGGGCGCCCAGCGCGCGCCACTATCAATTATATTTATAGCCGAAAAGGATGAAATATCGACCAGCGAGCAAAATTAGTCCAGTCAACGAACTCGCGCGCTTTAACTTGTCGCGTTTGTATTATATATAAATGTTATATAGTTATATGTGTGAGTGTGTCGCAAAGTGAGCAATCACTGCAACTGTGTATCCTAGTACTCATATACTGAATTCCTCGCATTCAATCCAGCTAATCTTTCGATTTGCGAGAGAAGCAATTATTAGGTCCTAAAAATTAATGGATTAAATGGAGTTTTACCGGCTAGGCCAGAAACGACTAGAATGCGGCGCAAAATTTCGCTGCGGACTCACAAAGGAACCGCAGAGCTTTATATAGGTATATGTAAGTCGCGCAACTGCATGATCCGCGTGAGAATCCGCCGCAGCAGCAGCAGGAGAACTGCAACACGTGTGCTGCAGCAAAGCTCGCAAATCGTTATATAGACGACTGCACGGAGATTAGGCAGCGCCTTGCATGCCTCTACGTATAGACGCAGTGCGTGGCTGCACGTACAACGGCGTCGTATGTGTGTCGGTAGTGGCTGCTGCTGCTCGCGTACGCGCGGGAATCCCAAAAGTCGCAGCTGCACATGCAGCCGATGCAGTTACGTGCACGACGCTGCTGGCGTGTGCGGTTTCGCGTGCTCGGCCGATTAGACGTTCTCGTGTGTGCCAGCTACACGGCGAGTTCACGCGCGTTATACTGATCGCGAAATTTGGCGCGCGCGCGACAGTCCGGAGACGAAATTTCAATGGAGCACAAGGGCCAAGCGCGATGCTGCTGTCGTGGCGAGCGCGCGCAATTATTATACCTGTGCACGTACGCGAAGGGCCTCGCTGTGCCGCGAGCCTTTGTCCTTTGGCTCGGCTGTGTAGGTGGTATACGCGTAAGCGCGGAGCTCGCCACGGGCTTTTTCGCGCGCGGCCAACTCGTCAAGGCCTCGCTCGGCGCGATATATATATAGATGCGTTACATCCTACATCGTGATAAAGGCACTGCGAGAGCCCTGGACGGGCGACAAAAGGGCTGGATGATGTTGGGTGATATTTACGTGCTCGATGCGGTGCAGCTGCTGGATAATTAGCCGACGACGAAGACGACTGCGCTGACCAGGTGGGCCCTGCAGCGGTCGCTCGGTGCAAAGTAGTGGCAGCGACGATAGAGGCGACGAGAGCAGCAACGACGGCCAGGACGGAGCAACGACGATGACATCGTACGACCCGAGCGAGCGATTTACCAATCGATCGACTTATTCGACTAATAATTCAATAATTATCTAAGAAGGAACTGACGGCGACTGCTGCTGTACCGTACTTATACTACTGCTACGACTAGAACTAGAGCTACGATCACTAAGACTGAGACTGGACCAGATCCCCCGAGAAGGATGAACGTGTGTCACGGAGCGATGGCAAAAACACTCGACGCAGCAGCACACGCACCGAGGAATACTAGTGCTATATGTATAATCTGGACTATCTGCTGCTGCTGCTGCTGGTGCTTTTCGCCAGGGCCTCGCGCGCGCCTGCTGCTGCTGCTGCTGCTGCTGCAACCCTCTCCCAAATGTATATAATACATATCCATGCTACAGATGTATATACGAGCGCGATCGTGTACGTATATACCTACGTTCAGTCAGGCACACGTACACGCATACACACACACACACACACAAACCCTCGGCGCAGTCATATATATGGATCTCGCGGAAAGAGTGTGTTATGGAGTTGAGCGAGCGAAAGAGAGAGAGGAGCGAGAGAGAGAGAGAGAGAGAGAGAGAGAAACATCGTTGTCGTAGTCGTAGTCGTCGTAGTCGTCGCCGAGTCTCGCGTCCCCCCACAATAGCCCTATTTATGATTGGGCAAAATTGCTTTCCATGCGCAGAATAAAATCCCGCGCGCGCGAGAGAGAGCGAGCGAGTGAGCGAACGAACGACTACTACTCTCCGCGCGCCGCTCGCTCTACGTTGCCCAGGTCCAACAGCCAACGAACTGCACACCCTACGCGTACGCGAGATAGCATTGCTCCTGCTCTCTTTCTCGCTCTCTCTCTCTCTCTCTCGCGCACTCTCCACCCCCCTACCTTTCATCCCCGGGAAAAATCTCTCCCTCCCGCGCTACCGTCCGCGAGATCCTCCTCCTTCCTCCTTGTCCTCCCCCTACTCCAGCATCCCTCATCTACCCCCTTTTTGTCCTGCGGCTCCATCATCTCTGATTCATAAATCTGCCGAGGCGACTTTTATCTGCGCTCTGTGCCACCTCTTTCGGCGATCGACTCATTTTTGCCTAATTTCCTTTGATCGCCTCGACTTCGAGATTTTTTCGATGCTCGATATGATCTTCCTCAACTTAAACCTGATCATTGTCATTTAAAATGCATTCGCGACCCTCCGCCGCGGGACGACGCAAAAACTATATGCGTGGGTAATCCATATTGTTGAGAAAATTCACGCATGACTCATGCTGACCCTGCAATCATTTTTGCCCACGACTTGACAAAAGTTATCACTCCTTTTTCGAAAAATGCCAAGTATATTTTTATCGAGACTACAGAAATTTCAAAAGTCTTATCACTCGAAGCATCTCTAATTAAACATTTTTAACGCTAAAAATTATACAAGGTTCTATAATATGTTATCTTCTGTAATCTATATATATAAAGCGAAGTTGGTGTCTGTTTGTCCTTTATGATCTCAAAAACTATTTGTCCAATCGGCTTGAAATTTTTACCACATATTTATTATACCACTGCGCAGGTTTCTATCATATTAAAACCATTATTTGCTTATTTATTTTTGAGTTCAGAATTTTTTTCGTATTTTACCACTTTGCGCGCTCGCTCGCCCCTTGCACGGTTAATGGTTATAAAAAAGACCGAAAGCAGTTGTTTTTTTTACACGCGGTGAATCGGAATACATTGTATTTGACGTGTACATGTGCTATTACGCTATTCGAGTTTTACAAGTGTGTGAACTCAACTCATAGATTTCCTACTACGCACTTGACGTGACCTGTTTAAGATCTTTTAAGCAGTCGAATTTGTTGAAAAAATTGAACGTGGGCGAAGCCACGACGGGGTCGCTAGTTATAAATTAAAACAAAATACATAGACATTTTTACACTCTTCAATGCTGAGTTAAATGGTCACAGTCTTTGTCAATCAATATTGAAAGGTTTACTAAGGCCATAGTAAAATGAAAATTTACCAACCCCTTTTCCAAGACTTGTATTGAATACTTTCAAATTGATCTAAAATGTCTTCCATTAATACATCAATCGTAATTGGGTTGTTTAAAAAATATTTGAGATAAATAGTTGCATAGTAAATAAAAATTCAAATACATTTAGATATAAATAATTGTCTTATATTTATAAGTACTATGATACATACAAATTTACACTTTTCAACAGTCGAAATTATAAAAAATATAATTATAGTTTAAAAATCTTTAGTATAAACAAACTTAGAAAAAATAATTTTTATAAAATAAAGATATTAAAAAATTATACTTCTTCTAACGCCGAAGCAGCTTCGAATGCTTCTATATCTATGAGCCATTTTTTTACTTGGCGGACCGAAGTATCTGGCATCTGTAACTGTAAAAATTAAAAATGTTCGTTTTCATTTAAAAGCAAAAATACAAAACAACATAATTTAAAATTAGAGTATTAGTGCAGTATTTACCAAAATTTTCGTGAATAATGCCGTCGATGGGCTACTCGTTTTCTTGTACAAGCGTATAAACGTGCCATGGTTCGTGTGATGCGCCAATTTTTCCCATACACCTGTACTATCCAATATTTCTTTGATCGCATTGACGTGCTCTTTTGTAAACTTTACCTCATTCTTCCTCAACTGATCTAACTGCTTTTGTATTAAAACTGGATCGGCAGCTTTAACTAGAATTTTTGAATCATTCCTTTTACGGTTTTCTGTAGCTGGTATCTCAGTTTTGGAAGAAGAGCTCGTCTTCGAAGTAGTCCTTCGAACTTTATCTGGTAAGCTCAAATTCAATCTTTCCTGTAAAGGCAGATCGTCGTCCGATGACTCAGTTTCTTCCTTGAGAACTAGTTCTTCTAGACGTAAGTATGGTTGCGGTGCATTTAATAACTCCATCAGCTAGTAACATAATCAAGAAAAACCATAACATTCATTCAATTAATATTACGCTATGAATTAATATGCTAATCAGTCTACTTACTCTTTGAGCATCTTTCGAAAAAGGCTCTGCAGGCTCTTCACATGAATCTTCTTCGTCTTCTTCTTCGCTTTCTACCTCGCTCTTAATCATTAATGAGTGTTCATCCTGTATATCTATATCATTGGTGTTTTGCGTTACCTACAAAATATATTGTTCAATATTATATTAAAGTTGTATAAACAACTAAAATAATTTTCAACTAAAGTCAAATTATAAAATGTTATTGACTTACATCGAAGTTGATGCTTGTCTCATTCTGTGTCTGGTGATTTTCGCTATTATTACGTAAATTCGAAAGAGCCCCATGTTTTTTTAGTAACTCAACTAACTTTTCACCAATCTCGCATTTTTTAACTGCAGCGGTGTGTAATGCAGTATTACCACCCATATTTTTCATATTAACTTCAATTTTTGTCTAGATTCAGAAATATTACAATTTGGTTACTCAATAGCATAACATGTATAAGAGATTTTTCAAAAAAAAATAAAAATGAAAGCATACATTTTCCACTAAAAATTTAACAATATGTAAGTGGTTGTGATCCACGGCAATGTGCAAAGCTGAACGGCCATACGAGTTATCAGTAATGTTAACATTGGCTCCAGATTTAATGAGAGCTTTAACAGCGTCTAAAGATCCAGTTTTAGCAGCCATGTGTAAAGGTGCCCATCCAGAATCGGATAAAGAATCTAGATTTAATTTGCTTGAATATTTCAATAAAATCTTTAAGCAAGTATTGTATCCACCTGTAACAACAATTTGAATGATACTTCACATGCTAAAGAATTTGCAAAGTAATTTTATAACTTAAAAATTGGTATTTACCAACAATCGCCCGATGCAGTGGTGTGTAATCATTTTCATCACCAATATTTGGATTGGCATCAAGAACTAAAAGAGCTTGCACAGTTTCTGGCTGATCAGCCCTTACAGCAAAATGGAGAGGAGTCTACAAATAAAATAAATGATTATTTAAATATTTTACCAACTTTTCTAAGAATATTTTAGTATCATTACCTCTCCACTGCTATTTTGAATGTTAGCTATCGGTCTCAAAGTTGAATCAACTGCCATTAATCTAATAAAATTTTTGGTACATTCATATTGATTATAACGTAAAGAAAAATGTAATGGTGTGTCACCATAATAAGTCACTTGTTGCAATAAATTGCGTATTTTAGTTGATGAATCGGATTTATATTGCTTGGTACTTTGAGAAATTTGAAGAATTTTTAAAATTTCAAATAATATATTGTCGGCAAATCTCTGAAAAGGATTGTAAAAAATTGTATTACATACTTATAGTTGGTTTAATAAAATTATACTATACCTCTGAATGTTTCAACTCCACATCAGCACTGTCAGTAACAATATCAGTATCAAGCATAGGATTCTTTGAGTTTGCTAATAAAGCTAGCCAGTTATCTAGCCCTTCACCTAAGAAAGGATCCATTGCTTCCAAGTCAGCTGAATAATCTTCATGAAGAATTTTTTGTATTTCAGCGGCTGTTTCAGTGGGATTATGTTTAATCATTTCTACCGCATTTATATTAAGAGATTTTGGATCATCCAAATTATTTGATTTCCAACCACTTTGTTCAAATCGAGGTCGTTTTCTATCTATTTATAAAAAAATTATAAATTAACATTAGTTAATCTATTTAATGTAGCTCTATTAATTGAATGATTGATTTTTATAGACTTACTTAATATTTTGTCAGATGGTTTATAAGTAAATTTTACACTATTTGAATATTCTCCATCAGATGGCCTTTCTAATCTAATAAATACTTCTTTTGGTTCAGTTGTAGAAGTATCTTTGTATGGAGGAGTTCTACAGTATGTAATATAATTTTTTTAAATTTAATTCAGAGACAATAAGATGATTTAAATATATTACTAATATATTACCTAAATATAATTGCATATTGATGATGAACATCTAATTCTGAAAATTTTCCATCAGCTTCCCAAATTGTATTGTCAGTATCCTCATCTAACTCATAAATCTTTACCCTTATATTTTCTAATGATAAATAATTTATCTTTTAATAAACATTAAATAAATCAGTTTCTTAAGCACAAAAATTATCTACTTACTTTTACCAACTTTCTCAACTAGAATCCAAATTTCATCATTACCATCCACACAACCAAAACTTTTATCGATGCGACATATTTTCAGTTCTCCTGTTAATGCACTTTCTAAAATTTCAATCATGTTTAGTTATTAATAATTGATGATTTAATTGTTTTTCATCAATGTTATTCACAAAACTTTATATAAGTTTAGTAACAATTAAAAAATTGACTTACTTAAGTTATTGATGGGTCGAGAGTATACTTTCTCAGTAAATGGTATTAATGCATTGTTACTGCTATGTATATACCCTTGGAAACAGAGTGCTACAGAATTCAAATTCATCCAATTTTTTGCATTCTCTGCTTCTGATTGCAACTATTCCATAATAATTTTATTAGTAGTGTAAAATTGTATTCTCAATAACATTATAAAACAAACCTTCATTTCTTCTCGGGTTGAAATAACAACATTACTTGGATCCTGTCTTTTTTTTGTTTCTAATAACTCCATTCTTCTTTTTCTATAAATTTCATCTTTAATGTGCTTTTTTGCAGTGTGAATTATTCCCATGTTATAAAACCTATTTATAAAATTATTGAAATTAAAATTTAATTGTGTTATGAGTGGATTGATAAAATTTAATTTAAATAATAATTACGTTGCAGTATAATCGTTTTCAGCAGAAACTTCTATATCATGAGGATCATCTGTATCATCTGAAGAATTTTTTTTAACTAAACGATGTGCATGTGGGAATCTTTTATCTTCATTTGCAGTCACAATAGTGCATCTTATAACAGCCTTTTTGAATGGACAATTAAATAACTAAAAAATAATATATAATTTTAATAAATAATTTTATCACTGTGAGAAATAAAATGATTAAAGATTACCTGTACAGTAGGGACATCTCTTTTGTGACGATTATTGTCTTTATCTCCTAAAAGACTGCCATGAGTTCCAAGCATTTCAGACTTATATCTAAAGCGAAATTTATCAATAGGTTGAACTAGAATTTTGATCTTAGTCTTTTCGCAAATGCTTATATCAACATTTTGAGATTGATCATCAGTAGCACTTATTATTTCTGATGGAAAATCTTCCATATCCATTGTCTGGCTTCCCATTGAGACAGGACTGTAGCCTGCTGAACTCATGATTCCAAAATCTTAAATAAAATCATTTTAACAACGGTTTATGAAGATAATTTTTTACAAAAATAAGAGTACATGGTGCAACGGTTACAAGATACAATATTAAAAGCATAAAAACGTTATGTTGAACACGTTTTATTTACCATTGCTGTAGGTGAAAAAATGTTCAGCCGGTGCCGGCGATAAACGCAGCATGTTATGTTTGTAATTAATAAAATTTTCATACGCGTCAGTCATAATTGCGAAGGCGTTATAGCCAAATGGTACGGATTACAAAGAGAAGCAAAGTTTCAGAAGCATCAGACGCTTTGATTATCGAAAAGTAACTTTGAGGTTGAACAATTGTATCACAAGACTTACCGTATAAAAGCGACTATCGGTTTCCTGATAAAAATGACGTCGTCGCTATTCTCGGTAAAAGTCGTAAAAATGCACGTTATAAATTTTGCAAGAAATGACAGATCGTCGATGTAATCACGTTTTGAAGTGGTTCGCCGATAATAACCTCGATAAGAGCGGGTCTTCCCCGACGCAACAGGCACTACTTGCTATAGCTCGTGCGCGTACATTGAGCAGACGACACTCACACTTTCACAGCTTATAAGAGAAGCACGCTCGCAGTTCGGGAAGTCCAGACGCGAGACTCGTGTACTTGGTACTGAATGCTGCAACTTGTAAGGTATACTTAGGTGGATTTGTTTTGAAAGCGCAACAACGTGCAGTTTGGTGGCGTGACATCGCCAACCAATGAGTTCAAAACTTAGTTTTCTTACTTGAACACTTTTTTTAAACTTTTTTACGTATTATATTATGTATAATAACCGGCTGAATCTGAACTTCCCCGTAGAGAGGCCTAAATTGTGCCGAAAATTGTACAAGTAATTTTTTTATGAAAATTGATAAAATTTATGCTATTCCATCTGGCAATACACTTCTGATGATATTGGACTAATATAAACAGAAAATACTCTTTGGCATCTCTTAAGTTGGTAGATTTTGAAGTATTTAACATTCTATATTAATGTGTCCGAGTTCTTTTCAAATATAAAGTTTCAAATATAAAGTTAATTTCAAAAATGATCATTCTATTATTTTTGAATAAAAATGTCAAGAGACCTTTTCTGTTTACATATAATCATTCAATTAACTTTAATACAGTGCTCCCAAATTGAAAAACATAAATTTTTTCAATTTCTTTGAAAAAAGGGTTAATGATGGACGACGAGGATATTGTATTTATTCATGCGAAGTTTTTTCGAGAAAACTTCGAGGGTGGTATCTTCGATCGTTGAAAAGCTGAAAATCCACAATATTTCCTTGAGTAGTAAACACGTCTGATCTACGTGAGAACTTCATTTTATTCCACATAGAAATTCTATTCATTTTTTTTCAACTGGGTGAGTCCTAAATAGTAGTATGTTTTGCACCTAGGGAGTGAAAAACTGGAAATGAGCCTCGGCTCCACCTCGGATGATAGATCGCTACATAGGTGCAAATACAATTTTTTGTTAATCCCCCAGCCTAAAGTAACATTTTGGTTTTGCTCAGCGGGAGTAAAATGTTACTTTAGGTTGGGGTAGCACAAAAATTTGATTTATTGGCATGAACATTCAAATCCAGGTGATAATTTAAATTTTTTATTGAACATGTCCCTAAAAAGAATTAATGTAGTATTCCGGAAATACTATTTCCCCCTTACAACTCTATAATACTGAAATTTTACTTTATTCACAAAGACTACTATTATATTGATAATTGCAATTATCACGAAATTATGAAAATTGCTTTGTTGAGATGATCGTATTTATTATTCATTTATACGTTTTTAATGAATAAAACTTAGAAAAAATTTTTGAAAAATACATATCATTTAAGCTCATTTACTTTTTGCTGTAATTTCAATGCCCTAGAATAAACTACATTTTCTTACGTGCTCTATGTGTGTAATTTATTGCAGGTATAGATCAAGTTTACTAAGGGTGTGGCAATATTAGTTTACAGTGCAAATATCTTGAACTATTTAATCACCGATTGCGCCGAAAATAAGTGTCAGATATGTAAAAATAGATATTTCATACGAAATATCGAAATACGAAAGGCTATTATAGGGGATTACAATAAACATTTATTACTATCGATTAATTTGTTACAGTCGTTTGAGCTATCAAAGCATCACTTGTTCAAAAGTCAATTCGATAGTGCAGGTTTTAAAAAAAGGTACAATAAAAAAATACATTGCAGTGACTTTTCGGAAAATTATTTTTTAGTTTTCATTTTGTGAGACACACATTGGAATATACGTAAAATGAATTTCATTCGATACATCATCATCAGAGGGTCGATATAATCGAATCGAGACTTTTTTTGGCTCTATAATATTTTTATTCTTATATGCCGGAGTTCTGTTAAGAAATATAAATAAATTATAAATTAAATATGTTAGGTTTCTTCGAGAACCTTACATACCTAAAGATAATTAAAACTTGGTGATGTACATCCGATTCTGAAAATTTTCCATCAGCTTGCCAAGTTGGTTCTCCATCATAGTCCACCTCTAAAAATTTAATTTTAATATTCGCTAAAAAATACGATATATTTTTAAAAAAATCATAATTAACTGAGAAATAATTTACAACATAATAATTAAGTACTCTTTTCAACTTTTTGTACGAGCAACCAAACTTCTTCGTCTCCTAAGGTGGAACCGGTACTTTTACTTGACCGATATATTTTGAGTTTTCCCGTCGAAGCATTTCCTGGTAAAAGTTCATTGAAATTATTTATTTTAAATATTATTTCATTGCGACTTCAAACATTGTTTCATACTTACTTGAGTTATTTACTGATTGCGAGTAGATTCTATCCGTCAATGGATATAAAATATTGTTTGGTCCATAATAAAATCCTTGGAAACTCAAGCATGCACTATTGACATTGATGCATTTCATTTCATTTTCAGTGGTCAATCTTATCTAAAAAGTATAAATTTTGTTCACAAAAGCATAAGATGATTTCCTTTATTATTTTTATTAGCCTTTAAGAGATGAGTAAGCAATCTATAAAAAGTATTGGTTATTTAAAAGTTGCATCAACAACTCTAATTGAAATTGATTTAATTATTAATCAATATTTCAACATTTTTAAATGTATTGTGGGGAATATGTGATTAATATAGTTTTCTCATCTTATAGAAAATTTACTAATTTTACAGGAATTCAAAATAAAATAAATTACTTGTAAAATTTCATCCTCTGTCAAGTCTAACTTTGATAAATGCATTTGAGAGTTTTGCATTTTTTCTTCCAGCAATTTGTTAATTTTCTTCGTTATCATAACTTCTCTAATTTTTTTTTTAATCGTTATAATAATTCTTATGTCATCGAACCTTTAGCAAAAAATATTAATATACATTATTATTATAACTGCTGCATTAAAACATATTTAAAAAAATGTACTTCAATGTGACACAGACGTTGCAGTAAAATTATTTTTATCAGACACTTCCTCGTCGTAGTGATTATCGAGATCTGAAGTATCATTTCTGCGAACTAAACAGTACGGATGTAAAAATCGATTAGAATCTGCAGTAACCAAACTGCATCTAATGATGGCCTTTTCAAACGGACAGTTGATCATCTAAAATTTATTGCACTGAATTTAACTTGCCGTGGCTTTTATTACATCATTTATCGTACCTGCACGGTAGGTGCTTTTTTCAATTGACCGATACTTTTACCTTCTCCTAATAATCTTCTGTAGATAGTTGGCTCAGATTTGTATCTAAATCCATATTTATCAATTGGTTGAACTAGTATATGGATATGGCATTTCGATCCTATAATTAAAATGACTTTTTTTATCGTTACACATTTACTTGCTATTTGAAATACTTATTTCAAGTGTGAGTACTCAAACTAATCAAAATCAAATGCTTAACAAATTAAAATATTTTGCCAAAATCGATTAATAAAAAGCGAGGTAGGAAGAATATTTATATACCTAATGGCCTTTCGCTAGCATCTAGATTGATTAATTCTTCAAAAGCCGGCAAAAGCATCGCTGGCAGTTCCATGTTGATGATCGCTAAAAAATGATTAAATCTGGTACGAATCCCGATCAATTAGAAGCATTCAGAAGCTGCGTTAAGTCGTTATTCGAGCACTCACCAGTATCAAAGAGTAACAACAACTATCTTATATTCGCATATACACGAATCATTCTGATAAGATCGTGCACTATAGATAGACTTTCCAAGTGTACAGAGTTTTATGAAAATTGAATTCTTAATACACGCAAATTGAAGAATATTATCGGTTAGAGTTATTAGTAGAGTTATTTCTATCGAGCTAATTACCAATAGTTTTAGGTCATAACTCGTGTGAAAAATGTACTAGTGCAACCATTTAAATGCTATTATCGCTTAAAATTTAAAGTGTACTGAACAGAATTTTTCAGAAATGAGATACAAAAAGTATGAATAGATTAAGTAGAAATCTCGCAACGATATGATACGTAACTTGAAGGGCAGCTCCAAAGTGGAAGCATTCGACTAATGCTATAGGCATTATAGACAAAGACTGCTGGTGAACCTGACACACCCTTATAATTTTTCCGATGTTTCTTTATGTAAACTCATGTAATGAAAATTAATCGCATAAACAAACCTGATTTCCAAAATTTTTTTTTTTAACTTCATACATGTCCAGTTGAAAATATTAGAGTATTGTACAAATTTCCGAAAATGAGGTTGAAAATCATAATTACAACGTTACATTATAAAAAGATTATAAAATTGGATTTATTGTCTTAAACTTTCAAAACGTCACAATTTTATGACAGGTAATTACAAAAAATATGACATACTATAATAATTGGTATAAAAGTCATTAAAAAAATACATGTATAACGAAGAAAGCTTATTTTTTTTCTTGAAAATTTCAGATGATCCTTTTGGTCAATTCTAGCTTTTTCCAGATTATTTTTGAGTGAGTTGCAACAATACATTGGCATATTTGCATCAGTTTTCAATATATCAAACACTTCTGAGTATTTAGAACCTTGGGATGGTCCAAGATCAACAGGAGTCATATCTTTAGCCTATGATTTTATTTTTTTTTTATTACATAGTATGATAATAATACTCAAGTATTAATTATTTCAAAATCGCTTGATTGAGTCACAAGTATTTAAAACAAATAAATTATTTAAAAGTAACTATTAACATACATCATCATAATCCATACTGAGATCTTCCTTGGCTTTGTGCTAAATTCAATTGATTAAAAAAATTGGCAATCTATCAATGAAATTCTTAACACTTTCTGAGTAAGAAAATTAATAATACCTGCAAATACTTTATTATACTGCGTTGTTTGTAATGTTGGGCCATTTCAAGGCATGTTTTTTCATTGGATCTATTTATTGAATTTATTTGAGCCCCAGCCTCTACCAAAGATTTAACAATCTTCAAAGAATTTCTTTTTATCGCCAAATGTAATGGCATGTAGCCACATTCATTAGAAATATGAAAATTAATTTTATCTTTATACTTTAGTAACTCATCGATGCAGTCATAAGCTGAAGCTATTACACAGTTCAGTAATAAAAAAAAATTTTTATAATAATGTCTATTTCCTAAAATAATTAAATTTGTACATCTGTTACCTTCAATAGCCAAATGCAAAGCAGTATTTTCATTATCATCAAGCATATTTAGATCAATCCCCATATCAAGAAGTTTTTTGACTATTTTTGGTTGATTTTTCAAAATAGCGAGGTGTAATGCTTTCTGCAAAATTGGGATTTGTTTATCAAATACCAGAGCTGCAGAATAATTCAATTTAAAATAGAATACCTCTTTAATATTACTCTGACAGTCACTATGATGTATCGATCTATCATCTAGCATTCTAGTTATTATTTCTTTGGCTTTTTCAAATTTATCAAAAATTAAAGCTTCGAACAAAGATTTTTCATCAAAAGAATTAAATGAATCATTTTCATCTAAGCCATCAGTTTCCATTGCACATTCACTGATACCATAAGGAATAAAAATTGATTCTTCATCAGTAGTCCTGTATAACTCAATTTTAATTTTCCCCTTAACCTTTTCTACACAGTCTGATGGGATTCTAGAAATATTTATAAACATTTTTAATAATCAAAAATCACATTTTAAGGTAAGCTGCTTTAGATGCCTAGAAGTTTAGAGATTATTGATATTGATGTAAGCACAGAATATGTGTAAGTGACTATAGTTATACATTTCCATAACGAAAGAAGTATTAAAAATATTAATTTTGTTCAATTTATTTTTAAATTTCCAATAAACAAGGTTTTCATGAAATTTTAATTTATTCGATAGAAAACATTTTACTATCCTTGAAGTTTTGTTACTTAATACTTCTTTTGAATATCAATGTTTTATCATTCACCTTGTACACTATTTTTATTAACATACCGTATTATAATAACAGCTTGATGGTAATACATTTTCTCTAATTGCCAATTTAACAATGAACCATTCTCGTAAAATTTAATTTCTAGTTTATCTTAAAATATAATTAGTTATGAGAATATGTTATATTAAAAAAGAGAATTGATCAAATTTTACCTATATTAATTTTATTTTTCAAAATTATCAAAACTTCATCGTAATTTTTATTTTTGAATACTCTATATACTGCAATTTCAAGCTTAGCAGTACTTGAGGTATCTGAAAAATTTGGATGGAACTATTGATACTGTTTGAAGTTTATAACTTAATTTTAATGTGTTCATAGACTTACTAGAATTTTTTATTGCATTTGAAAAAATTTTCTCACTTAGCGGAATATTTTCGTCACCAATTTTGTAAAATGCTTCAAAACATAGAGCAACAACGTTGAGATCAATATTCTTCAAGTTTTTATTTATTTGCTCTAACAACTATTGCAAAAACATTATAATAAATAAACTTTTTTTATGTAACTGGTTAATAAAGAAAAAATAGTAATAGCAAACTTGGGGTGTGTTCTCCTTTCCATCTCTCTTTTCTTTTTTCATTAGGATCTCAGCATGTTGCTTATTTTTGTCTTTGGTGATAATGATTTCTATATTTTTTAATCTACAATACACAAATAGAAAGGTCTTTCAATATGTTGAAAATGTTGTAATTTTAAATAATTTATTTCATGTACTTAGCAGTGTGTTCTTTTGGATCAACTGGAACCTCATAATAAGTCTGATCATGAAGAATTTTTTCATCTTTTCTTTTTTCCACTAAACAATAGGGATGGTTTACTCTGGTCTTAAAATCAACTAAACTGCATCTTATAAAGGAACCATCAACATATTTATTTACCTTCAAAAAAAGATTACATGCTCTGTATAAATGCAGATGTTTATAATTTTAACTTATGCTAAAAATTAATTATTTACTTTCACGGTGATAGGAGCTTTATTTTCACCTGATAGTGAACCACTCTTGAATTCAGAAATGTAACGAAAACGTCGACTATACTGTGGCTGATTTATTATTTCTAGTTCCAGGAATTGTATTCCTACAGTACAAAAGACAAAAATTAAAATATGTACTCTATTTATTCTAATATGTATTTTTGCAAAAACTAATCGACGCCGCAGTATTTTCTAACATTTTAAAATTTCCAATTTTTTTCGATCTTTTTAGGCAGAAATAAGGAATAAGCTTTTGAGCTATAAAAAAAAGAAATATATCACATAAAAGATTGATATTTCTGCCGTACCGGGAGCTAATCATAAAATACGCGCTTCGGAATCTCAAGCGCGACTGTAATTTTCAAACAAAAGCCTACTGTACGCGCTCACCAAAAGGGCGGGCAAAGACTTCGTTTCTCAAACGACTCAGACCTTGACAGTTCGGGGGCGCTGTACAGCGCTTGCAAGGCCAGAAAAAAGAAGAATAAGACTCGGACGTGACGATCAGGCACTTTTTATAGACGAAGTAAAACATAACATTGGGTCTCGGTTAAACTATTTCTTTTACGATCGTGGCACAATTATGACGTGAATTTTCGTTTCTTATTTCAGAAAAGTGTATGAATGAATAATTTTCCCGATCGATTTAAAAGCAAGTAATAGAAGTTTGCTTACCTAATAAATTGCCTTCTAGATCAAAGCATATAGAAAGATCAGCTGTAAATCAGATTTTTGATTTAACAAATCAGAACTTCATTCCAAAAATTAACAATTTTTAATTAAAATCTCATTTCTAGTATAATATAAAGAAATGGCAAAACCGAAAAATATAATGAATTTACTATTACCCCAATCTGAAGGTAGATCTAGACCATTTGATATATCTTCACACATGGTTGTTAATACAATGTTCTAGATTTGGTGCGAGTGGACCTCCAACAGTACAAACGGCTTGCCAATATGAAGTAACAAATAACAAATCTCTTTCACTTCACACACTAAATCAACTTCAAACTTCAAATCTGCTCGACTCGCTGACTAAGAACCAACTGACGCTGCAACGAGATACTTTAGCGGCTGACCTACACAGCGATATGCGTGCCGGCCGCACTTCAAAATTCATAATAATATTTTTGTATATAATGTATGTTATATATACCGTTCAAAATACGCATTGTTGTGTATGGGTCGACTTGGTCGCCCGAGTGGCTGCGAAATGAGCTTTTCGTGGTATTCAAGACGGTATATCTCCATCATTCTTTTGGGCGAGATAAAGCAATCCTTTATTGTTTCTTTCTTTGTATACACTTCTCAATATGAACTCGAGAAGTTAAAGAACTATAGCTACACCCGCTACCGATAGAGTCAATCGCTTTTTTTATACTATAATCCAATACTCTGAAACAAACATACAAACATAAGAGGCACACTGTTAACTTATTATACTTTAACCCATTAACGCGCAAAAGTGCCATTTTGTGCATGAATTTTCCGTTGTAAAAAAATTATAGATAAAGTTAAAATATTTTCTTGAAAATCCATACCCAGGGGTTTTTGAGTATGCTCTTTCAGTATCCGGTGTTATTTTTGCGATAAATAAACATTATCATCGTTTATTTTGCCATTAAAAACAAAAAACGTGAATTTTTGACTCAAAATTTTTTTTCAAAGTCGATTTTCTACCTGGCCTTGCCTTCGGAGGGTTCCCATAACACCAGAAATCGTGCACTTTTTCTCTGAACCTTCAAAAAATGCGCTGCCGCGATTTTTATCTAGCCCCTATATTTCTAAAATGGCTAATTTATACCGAGCAGCGAAAAGAAAATTGCCTTATTTTTTATTTGTAAATTATTGACTTTATAAAAGAAAGTCATACAATGAAAAGTGTTCAAATTTGTTCAAAGAATACATGTGAATTTTTTTTAGAATTTTTTAATAATTTTTTTCAGAATTTTTCAGATTTTTTTGGAACATTTTGGATATTTTTGACAGGCCGGGAAATGGTCGTATTTGGCAAAATTTTCAAAGTGGTCTGAAAAATTCTGAAAAAAATCACACGTATTCTCTATACGATTTCAAATAAGTTTTTACACTCCAAAATGTACTTTTGAGTTCATATTTAGCGCATGTAAAATAGATTCTGAGTAAAAAATGAGTGAATTTTTATACTACTGCCCGGTATAAATTCGCCATTTTAGAAATATAGGGGCAAAATAAAAATCGCGGCAGCGCATTTTTTGAAGGTTTAGAGAAAAAGTGCACGATTTCTGGTGTTATGGGAACCCTTCGAAGGCAAGGCAAGGTAGAAAATCGACTTTGAAAAACAATTTTGAGTCAAAAAATCACGTTTTTTGTTTTTAATGGCAAAATAAATGATGATAATGTTTATTTATCGCAAATATAACATCGGATACTGAAAGAGCATACCCAAAAACCCCTGGATATGGATTTTCAAGAAAATATTTTAACTTTATCTATAATTTTTTTACAACGGAAAATTCATGCACAAAATTGAACGTTTGCGCGTTAATGGGTTAATGTCAATGCTCGTTAAAGCGTAATTTGAACTTTAACCCATTAAATCCGGGACGGACACATTTTTGATACTTTTTTGAACCGTTGTACTTTTGCTGAAAATGGTGTCTGGAGAACTTGCGAGTAAGCATATTTTAATGAACTTTCCGAATACGGTGTCAGATTTTTGACTTCTGTCAACAAGTCAAAAGTTATGGATGGTCTTATCCAAAAAACGTGATTTCAAACAAAAAAAATTTTTCTTCTTTCTGAATTTTAACATAAAAATCTTTTAAATCCTGGCGTCTTTGGTACAAATAAAGCTTCCGTGGGTCCTTCTCTTAAAGTTATGATGGTTCTGATTAGTGAAATATGGTTTTAAGTACCAAAAATGGCGACTGGAACACGAAAATATGTAAGGACATTTTTGGAATATTTAACTCAAAAACAATGGATTTGAGGAAAAAACTTTACTGACGAATGAGTTCATTGATAAACTCTAAGAAAAATTTTTTTTTCAAAATCACGTTTTTTTTTATAAAACCATCCATAACTTTTCACCGGTTTGTGATATCGAAAATCTGACACCGGATTCGGAAAGTTCATTAAATTTTGTATAGTTTATGCTTACTCGCAAGTTCTCCAGACACCATTTCCAGCAAAAGTAGAGCGGTTAAAAAAAGTAACAAAAATGTGTCTGTCCCGGACTTAATGGGTTAATATGAAGTCTTATTAATTATAATTCAAAAGCTACGAGAAAAAAGTATGCTTGATTTGACAAGCAGTGATGTGAAAAGGGCCCCCAATGTTTCTTTGTTCTACTGCAAAAATTAACGTAGTTCGATTAAAAAGTTCAAAAACTCGAATTGATTTGAACATTTAATAACATTTTATGTATTAATTAACTTTAGATGAATTAACTGAATAAAACATATAATTATAACGATGATTTATTGTTGCTATTTCGCATATCAGTGCAGTTTGAACAATGTGAACAATTTTGCACACTTCATTGTAGCAATGGTATAAATGAACTACTTATATATGTACAATAAATTTCATGCCGACGATATCGTGTATCAAGAGACATGACGGCACCTATCAATAATGATTTAAATTCCAAAATAAATTTAAAAAAAGTTTCAATTCGAAAAAAAAGAATACAAAATTTTGCTACTGTCAAAAAGTTACTTTTAAATTACGACAGATAGATAATTATTCATGGAAATAAAATCTATTGTTAAGATTTGATCAAGCAAAAATGGTTTCGCAGACATTTCGCTCATCCGCGAGCATTCATTTTATTTTCATAAAACTCAATACAATTTTTAAATGTACTTATAGTGCAATAATTTAAATGCTATTATCGCTTAAAATTTAAAGTGAACTGAACAGAATTTTTCAGAAATGAGATACAAAAAGTATGAATAGATTAAGTAGAACCTCGCAACGATAAGATACGTAACTTGAAGGTCAGCTCCAAAGTGGAAGCATTCGACTAATGCTATTGGCATTAGACAAAGACTGCTGGTGAACCTGACACACCCGATGTTTCTTTATGTAAACTCATGTAATGAAAATTAATCGCATAAACAAACCTGATTTCAAAAAAAATTTTTTTTAACTTCATACATATCCAGTTGAAAATATTAGAGTATTGTACAAATTTCCGAAAATGAGGATGAAAATCATAATTACAACGTTATGTTATAGAAAGATTATAAAATTGGATTTATTGTCTTAAACTTTAAAAACGTCACAATTTTATGACAGGTAATTACAAAAAATATAACATACTATAATAATTGGTATAAAAGTCATTAAAAAAATACATGTATAACGAAGAAAGCTTATTTTTTTTCTTGAAAATTTCAGATGATCCTTTTGGTCAATTCTAGCTTTTTCCAGATTATTTTTGAGTGAGTTGCAACAATACATTGGCATATTTGCATCAGTTTTCAATATATCAAACACTTCTGAGTATTTAGAACCTTGCGATGGTCCAAGATCAACAGGAGTCATATCTTTAGCCTATGATTTTATTTTTGTTTATTACTTAGTATGATAATATGTAATACTCAAGTATTAATTATTTCGAAATCGCTTGATTGAGTCATAAGTATTTAAAACAAATAAATTATTTAAAAGTAACTATTAACATACATCATCATAATCCATACTCAGATCTTCCTTGGCTTCGTGCTAAATTCAATTGATTAAAAAAATTGGCAATCTATCAATGAAATTCTTAACACTTTCTGAGTAAGAAAATTAATAATACCTGCAAATACTTTATTATACTGCGTTGTTTGTAATGTTGGGCCATTTCAAGGCATGTTTTTCCATTGGATCTATTTGTTGAATTTATTTTAGCTCCAGCTTCTACCAAAGATTTAACAATCTTCAAAGAATTTCTTTTTATTGCCAAGTGTAATGGCATGTAACCATATTCATTATAAATATGAAAATTGATTTTATCTTTATACTTCAGTAACTCTTTGATGCAGTCGTAAGCTGAAGCTATCAAACAGTTTAGTAATGAAAGAACAGTTTTATAATAATGTCTATTTCCTAAAATAATTAAATTTGTACATTTATTACCTTCAATAGCCAAATGCAAAGCAGTATTTTCATTTTCATCGACCATATTTGGATCAATCCCCATATCAAGAAGTTTTTTGACTATTTTTGGTTGATTTTTCGAAATAGCAAGATGTAATGTTTTCTGAAAAATTTGGATTTATTCATCAAATACCAGAGCTGCAGAATATTTCAATTTAAAATTGAATACCTCTTTCATATTACTCTGAGAGTCACTATGATGTATCAATTTATCATCTAGCATTCTAGTTATTATTTCTTTGGCCTTTTCAAATTTATCAAATATTAAAGCTTCAAACAAAGATTTTTCATTAAAAGAATTAAACGAATCATTTTCATCTAAGCCATCAGTTTCCATTGTCCACTCACTGATAGCATAATTATTTGCAGTATTTAATGTAGTATTTCCTGAAATTACATATAGCTAGAATAGAAGAAAAGTTAGAAGAACTTGTCCTATCTAATTCAGTTGCATTGTTAGAAACTTAAGAGTACTTCAACATTTTGTATTAAGAGCATAACTGATGTGATGTAATTACCAAGTTGAAAATTATTCTGTGAACACCTAGAAGTATAACAGGAAATAAAAGCAGATTCTTTATCAGTAGTCCTGTGTAACTCAATTTTCATTTCCCCCTTAACCTTTTTCACACAGTCTGATGGGATCCTAGAAATATTTATAAACATTTTTAATAATCAAAAATCACGTTTTAAGGTAAGCTACTTTAGATGCCTAGAAGTTTAGAGATTATTGATATTGATGTAATCACAGAATATGTGTGACTATAGTTATACATTTCCATAAAGAAAGAAGTATTAAAAATATTAATTTTGTTCAATTTATTTTTAAATTTCCAATAAGCAAGGTTTTCATGAAATTTGAATTTATTCAATAGAAAACATTTTACTATCCTTGAAGTTTTGTTACTTAATACTTCTTTTGAATGTCAATGTTTTATCATTCACAGCTTATACACTATTTTTATTAACATACCATATTATAATAACAGCTTGATGTAAATACCTCTTCTCTACTTGCCAATTTAACAATGAATCATCCTCGTAGAATTTAATTTCTAGTTTATCTTAAAATATAATTAGTTATGAGAATATGTTATAGTAAAAAAGAGAATTGATCAAATTTTACCTATATTAATTTTTTTTTTCAAAACGATCCAAACTTCATCGTAATATTTATCTTTGAATACTCTATATACTGCAATTTCAAGCTTTGCCGTACTTGAGTTATCTAAAAAAATTTACATAGAACTTTAAATACTATTTCAAGTTTACAACTTAATTTTCATTTGTTAAGACTTACGGGAATTTCTTATTGCATTTGAATAAATTTTCTGACTTACAAGAACATTTTTTTCAGCAGTTTTGCAAAATGCTTGAAAACATAGAGCAACAACGTTGAGATCAATATTTTCTAAGTTTTCATTTATTTTCTCCAACTGTTGCAAAAAGATAATAAAAAATAAACTTTTCGTGGTATAGCTGATTAATAATAAAGAAAAAATAGTAATAGCAAACTTGGGGTGTGTTCTCATTTCCATCTCTCTTATCTTTTTTCATGATGATCTCAGCATGCTTATTTTTGTCTTTGCTGACAATGATTTCTATATTTTCTAATCTATAATATACAAATAAAGAGGTTTCTCATTATAATGAAGTTTGTAATTTTAAATAATGTATTTTATGTACTTAGCAGTGTGTTCTTTTGGATCAACTGGAACCTCATAATAAGTCTGATCGTGAATAATTTTTTCACCTTTCCTTTTTTCCACTAAACAATAGGGATGGTTTACTCTGGTCTTAAAATCAACTAAACTGCATCTTATAAAGCAACCATCAACATAATTATTCACCTTTAAAAAACAGATAACATGCTCTGGGTACGTGTATACTTTTTCTTATGCTAAAAAGTGATTATTTACCTTGACAGTGATAGGAACTTTTTTTTCACCTGATAGCGAACCACTCTTGAATTCAGACATATAACGAAAATGTCGAAATGGCTGAGGCTGAGTTATTATTTCTAGTTCTACGTAAAATTCATTGTTTTGGAATTCTGTTTCCACAGTTCGAATTTCTGTTCCTACAGAATCGAAAGAGAAAAAATTAAAATAGGTATTAATTTATTTTGAAATGTATTTTTGAGACTAATCGACGCCGCAGTATTTGATAACATTTTAAAATTTCCGACTTTTTCGATCTTCTTAGACAGAAATAAAAAAACCTTCGAGCTATACAAAAAAGAAATATCACATAATATATTCATAATTTTACTGTGCCCGGAGCTAATCGTAAAATGCGCGCTTCACATTCTCAACCGCAAATGTAATTTTCGAACAAAAGCCTGTATGATATGCGCTCACTTAAGACTTTGTTTCTCGAACGACGCGGACGTGACGATCGCACGTTTTACGGACGAGCTGAACATAAACGTTGAGTCTCGGTTTTACAATTTTTTTTACGATCATGGTACAATTATGACATAAATTTTCATTTCTTATTTAAGTAAAAGGTATTAAGGAATATATTTTCTTGATAGTAATTGAAGTTTGCTTACCCAATGAATTACCATCGTCTTCTGGATTTGTTGGATAAAGAATATTTTCTGTAAAGTAGATTTTTGATTTAACAAAGCAGAACTTATTTTATTTCAAAAATAATAGATGTTTAATTGAAATCGAACTACTGGCACATAAATATATACATGCCGGGCAAAAACTAAAAAATGTTATATAAATTTACCATTATAAAACATATCTAATTGTAAATTAAAATTATTTCCACATAGATCAGGATCATTAGCTAATAGATTATTTATACCCAATGGATCGTCAGACATGGTTGTTTATAATTTTCTGGATTTGGCGCGAGTAAAACTTCACAGACGGCTTGCCGATATCAAGGAACAAAACAATAAGTCTCATACACTTCACGGTAACTCCACACACTGAATAAACTTCAAACTTCAAATCCGCTCGACTCGCTGACTAAGAGCCAACTGACGCTGCAACGAGATACTTTAGCGGCTGACCTACACAGCGATATGCGTGCCGGCCGCACTTCAAAATTCATAATAATATTTTTGTATATAATGTATGTTATATATACCGTTCAAAATACGCATTGTTGTGTATGGGTCGACTTGGTCGCCCGAGTGGCTGCGAAATGAGCTTTTCGTGGTATTCAAGACGGTATATCTCCATCATTCTTTTGAGCGAGATAAAGCAGTCTTTTATTGTTTCTTTCTTTGACACTTCTCAATATGAACTCGAGAAGTTAAAGAACTATAACTACACCCGCTACCGATAGAGTCAATCGCTTTCTTTATACTATCCAATACTCTGAAACTGTAAATACAAACATAAGAGGCACACTGTTAACTTATTATACTTTAATGTCAATGCTCGTAAAAGCGTATTTTGAACTTCGAAATGAAGTCTTGTAATTATAATTCAAAAGTTGCGAGAAAAAAGTATGTTTGATAGAATACCGTTTTGACGAGCCGCGATGTGAAAAGGGCCCCCAATGTTTCTTTATTCTACTGCAAAAATTAACGTACTTCGATAAAAAAGTTCAATAACTCGAATTGATCATGTTAACATTTAATAACGTTTTATGTATTAATTAATTTTAGATGATTTAACTGAATAAAACATAATTATAAGGATAATTCATTGTTGCTACATTGCATACCATTAAACAGACTGAAATCAGTTGAACAATGTCCATATCATTGCAAAATGAATTTTAAATACAATTTTGCACACTTCATTGTCACAATGATATAAATGAACTATATGTACATTCAATTTCACGCCAAATGATATCGTGTATCAAGAGACATGATAGCATCCATTAATAATTATTTAAATTCCAAAATAAATTTAAAAAAAGTTTCAATTTGAAAAAAACGAATACAAAATTTTGCTACTGTCAAAAAGTTACTTTTAAATTACGACAGATAGATAATTATTCATGGAAATAAAATCTATTGTTAAGATTTGATCAAGCAAAAATGGTTTCGCAGACATTTCGCTCATCCGCGAGCATTCATTTTAAAATTGAAGCGTTTTGTATGATACGGTGTTCCACAGATTCATCAATCTCAAGTATGTACCAATAATCTTAACTTTCAATTATATTTTACTACGCCGCATACGAACGCTTTTCGGAAAACTTTTTGGCCTTGCACTCTGATTTCTAAAAATGTGCAAGAAGGAAGATTTTTACAAACTTTGAAAACGATTTTATGTTGATTTTGCATGATCTTAATTTTAAAAAATAACAAAACATCTTGTTTATAATTAATTTACTTACAACTTTATGCAAGAATGAGAATGAGAACTATTGAAATTTTACATTTGACAAATTCTTACATCTTAATCATATAGTATTTAAATGCTTCATCTTACCAGTATAGACTGCAGCAGTCTATAGTATTTTACATGATAATGAAATTTATGAATTATTTTGATTTATATGTGCATCATGATTGATAATTAAAAACGCTCAAAATTTTTTTTATCAAGTGCAAGCACTTGGAGTTTTATTCAATAATTAAAAAAGATAATTTATCGTTTTCCTCCTACTCTTGGAGCAGCTTTTGGCTGAACTTTTGTAGCCTTCTGTTTATGAACTGGCTTTGGTTTTGCTGGTGCAGCAGCTTTTTTAACAGCTTTTGCTGCTTTTTTCTGTTCCTTTGCAGCTCTGAAATTAAATTATAAATCAATCAGTGGAATTCAACATTATTCTTATATGTTTTAAATTATAAAAATACATTAAGCATAAATGACTCCTAATCTTTTCTAGTCAATGAACCATAAATTTGTTGACATTTTTCAATTTTGTTAGCTTTAATAATCAATATAAAAAATATCTAATGAGTATATTTGCATCAGCCACAATTATAAAAGATAAAATTTTAATTGAAAATTTGTAAAATTGATTTAGTCTCTTGGCTGCATAAAGAAGAAATCTTCATAATAACAATACTCACTTGATAGCCTGTTCACGTTGTGCCTTCCTAATTTCTGGCTTCATGTTACGCTTAGCCATAATATCGGTAAGTGAAGCACCAACAATAGCACGTTGGTATTTTTGAGTCCTTCGTGTTCTTTTTTTGGCCATTTCTTCTTCTTGACCTTTCTTGTGCTTACGCCTGAAGTATAAAAATTTGTTAGATTCACATTTACAAAATTAGCAGAATAAAATTAAATAAATTACCTGTAAAGAACAGTCCATGTAACTTTTCTTGGATTCCTTTTCATCAAATGGGCTGACTCGCATTTTGAATTAAGGAAAGTAAAGTTCTGCAATACATAGTACATTCATAAAAATCAAAATAATGCACTAACAGTTGCAATTCGAGGTTAGGCTTAACATTAGTAAAAAAATGTACCAATAGAACTGAATAACATAAGGTATATTAAAAATTGAATAGCAATGATACATATTTTAATGAACTAGAATAAGTTTTAATAAAAAATCATTATTTACCTTTCCATCAACTTTGACCATGGTCTTACCATGACCTGGGTAAATTTTATACCCACTGTAAGCACAAAGTCCAATCCTGAAAATATGAATAGCGACAAAATTAATAACAGCATTATGTTAGAACAACCTTTCGCGGCAACGATTAATTTCAATGATTATATTATTTAACGGTAGATTAATTAACAAAACTCACTTCATGATGTCGGGTTAAACGCGGCAACAATAACACAATTTTGGCCCTTGGATCGGCGGCTCGCGCTCGCGCAGAAATTATCCAGTGAAGGCGCCACCGGCCGTGCCGCCAATGAATATGCTCATAATGGGAAATCATTTAAAAAGTTTCAAAGGCAGCCAAATTGCAATTTTTATTTATATTATACTTTGCAGAGGGGAAAAAATTAACTTGTAAATTGATTTTAATGTGGATATTTTTTTCTTGCACAAGAAATTAAAATAATAGTGTAACTACCAACAGGTATTCAAACAAATGTTTATGTATATATATTTTTAAGATAGAATAATTGTATGTAGCAACTAGACTTGCATCACCATAGTAACTATTGTATTATTCTACACATACATTGACTGTTGAACTCATTGAATTTTACTAATTGAAAAATTATATTTCAACTATTGGTTTCAGTTCAATAAAGAACTTTATAAATGAATTTAACTCATAGAAAATACACATTCACATTAATTATTCAATATTTTTGTTTACTGTTTGATGTTGGTGTCAATTCATTTTTAACATTCGCTCGCTCCAATCCTGCTGATTTACTTGTTCTATTTGTGTAGGTGAAAAATATCAAAGCAAATTAAACACTAGAAGTTACACTTAAAGCTAATTTCTGTTCTTTTGCAGGATTCAAGATTTTTGCTTGATCATTGCTTTAACAATACTCCTGGCAAATTTCTTTTCTACCTATGTTTTTCAGGTTGAGTAAATAAACATTTTTTATGATCAAATAATATTTATATAAAATAATATAATTTAATTATGCTCTTTAGGCTGGTTTGATACAACTTTTATACACTGAATTTCGTTCAACTTTAGTTATTTGTGTACTTTATATAATATTAAGTATCAGCTTACATTCTTGGCATATGACTGTACATTGGAATTTACCATTTCTTCATTATTGGAGTATAACTTATCATGCTCTTCTTACCACTCAAAGATCAAGTAAGTTTTTTCCTCAATAAAGAAAAAATAAGTAATAAATAAATAAGTAAATAATAATACTTAAAATTTGCTCTCAATTTTTACAGTTGCAGTTCTTTATTATTATTTGAGCAAAAGAACATCACTTCAAATAAGTGACCCAAAATTTCATGAAAGTTCTGCATGGGTGCAAAATCAATTTAGATTTAAATAAATTTTAAAAACTAAATTGAAATCTTAGTGAGATTTCAAACTTCATTTTTTATAGATAATTTGATAAATTAGTTATTTAAGAATCAAGTAATAAAAATATTTAAACTTTTGTTTCCAAATAGTGTAAATATTTTATGAATTTATGATTACTCTATATTAAAACAACTATACAAGATTATGATTAGCATGAAGGAAAATCATTTTGTCTATTAAATGAGTTGGTAAAGCAGCCCTTTTCTTGTGATAATCAATTTGAATATCAAATGGTATTCTGGATGGTGGAGCACAACAAACTGGAACGCAGTTATATCTACCAGCTAAATTACTGAGATTTGGGCATTTTACAGATGACTTATACCACCATTGTATAGGACAGCTATCTAATGGAGCTGTTGGTTCTGACTCATACTGTGCCAACTCTAAGTCAGCTTTTTCAGAAGTTGACATATCTTGCTTATGAACTTTATTGAGGCCCCCAAGTAAAAATTCCATCCCTGTATCAATTAATAAAAGTATTAGATTGACTCTTAAATAATATTTTTGTACATTTAGTATGTATGTCTATTTACTTGACAATCTAGGCTTTTTTTCTGGTTGCTCATCTGTGAAATTTTCACTTTCTCCTTTATCATGAATAATTTTTATAAGCATTTCTTTGATAGGTAATGCAACGATTTTTTTATCTTCATTTGTTGCATAAGGTACATTCTTAAATCTAAAAATATGTATACAAAAATTAGTAATTAATTATATGAATTGTTAAGCATTTATTGATAATAAATGTTATATCAATTACTTTACCTAGGATCCAAAGTAGTTGAAATTTGTAATAATAAACTGACATCCTGATCAGCATATTTATTACACAACATATTTATTAATGATTCTTTTAAAGATTTAGATATTGTGCTATCTTCCTCTTTAACTTTTAAATGGGTTGAAACCAACTGCCATAACAGTGGTTTCAATAATGATATTAAAGGCATTTTTTCTTCACTAAGTGTTATTAAAGTAACTTGCAAAGGCTGAAGTACATCTAAAAGATCAGAAATAATCTGCCATTCTTCTTCACTTAACTCAAGATGGCAAAGATTTACACGATGATCTGCTTTAGTAAAAAATGAAGTAAGAATTTCACGATGTAAAAAAATTTGTTTCAACATAGAATATGTTGTTGTCCATATAGCTGGAGAATCTATAGTCATACCAGTTTCTTCTAGCTATAAATACGTAAAAATTATTATTTAAAAAAATTAATATTTCAAATTTTATTATCATGTTAAATATTAAATTTGATTTAGTTGGTTACATACCCCATAACATTGTTCTTGAGAAAGAAAAGAAGTAGACATTTCTGAGTAACTATCTATTGCACCAATAATATTTCGACATTTGGATAAAACTGGAGCTATATTGTAAGTTTCAAAACAAGCTTGAGCACAAGTTTGGAGAGAATAAAGTAAACAAGGAATAACAGATATTTGTAGAGACTCCAAAGCATTTATCAACTCAATTCTATCAGATGATACAACAAATGCAGTAATTTTATGGTTTGGAATATTCCACTCTTGTAAAAAGTCATGAATGGTCTCTCTCCATTGGTCAACATCATAGTCTTTAGGAATGTGTAATGTACTTAGCACTTTGGAGTCTAAGCATGCTTCAATTTTGTTTTGATAATATATTAAAAATGTAAAAAAGTTCTCTCCATTATTGGACGTCCATTCTTCTATAGCAATGCTTACTTCATTACTTATAAGAGAAATGTTTCGTAAGATTGTTTCTTTAAAGCTATAATATGTTTTTGGTATAATATTTTCTTCCAAAGCATTTTTATCTGGAATTTGACAAGGGGATTTCAAAGTAGCTATAAGTCTTTGAAACCCTTGTTGCTGCACAATTTCTGGCACTTGTAAATCTATAATTAAAAATTCTAAAATGGCATCTGAAACAGATTTGGTATTTTGAAAAGGACTCTGATGATTTTCTTGAGTTACAACAAAAGTTATAGGACTGTCTAAAGTTGCAGGAATATCAATAGCATCCTCTCTTTGTAAAATGTATTTTCTCTGCTTTCCTGAAACATTTTTAGTTTCAACACTCTTTTCGATAGAGTCAGAATATCTTATATTAGGATCTGATACAAATTGAATTTGATTATTGCTATCACTAATTTGAACTGTACCAGCCACATCAGAAGTATACAAATGTTCTTTACTACAAGCCAGAGCCTCTTTTAATGCTTTTTTTTGAGCTTTTTTTTCTTTGGTCTCTGCAGAAATATTTTGCTTTTTAGGTGGAGTATGTGATTCCAAAGCATATAATTCTTTACTGTGCTTATTTTGTAAATGCATTCTTAAATTACTAGTATTTCTATTATAAGCAATTTGAGTCTTGCAGAGCAAACAAACAATTTTTACTCTTGTTAGAATGGCACTTTTTTCATTAGCAGGAAAACCAAAGAATTTCCAATAAATACTTCTCATTGATTGTGGAACAACTAGCTTTTTATAAGCTACCACTGGTTTTTCTTCCAAAAATTTTGAAAAGACAGTTTTCACATTTTTTATTTTAGGAGCGACTTCTTCAATATCATCTTCAATATAATTTCCATCTTCAAGGATCAAATTGGTAGTAGCTGTTTCGTCTACTTCATAATTTGAGACTTCCATTTTATTCCATTAAAATTCTGTACACAATGCAAAAGAATTATATTTTCTGTAAGAAAAGGTTTAAAATCATTGTTAAGGATAGAATTTAATCATGAAAGGTTAGGTAGTACATGAAAAAATGAACGTTTTGAAAATAATAATTAACATAAATAAAACAATGTGTAATTTCTTTTGCAAAAAAATTATTCAATTTAATTAACTTTTTGGTACATGAGTAAGCGCATACAAATTTGTGATTGAATTTTTAATATTATTAAAACGAGAATTGCATGCACAAATTAAAAATATTTGGTTGGATTTGCAAATCAAAGTGTCAAATGCGTCAAGTACAGATCGAAAGTATGGCGAGTAAACAAAAAAATCAAATCGTCAAACTCACCTATCGATACTTTTCACTTTTTGCACTTTCGATGTTTGATTATACATCACACTCGAAGGCGCACTAACTTACGAGTTGCGATAGTTGAAAAGTAAGACAGCGCTGTCGACTCAAATATCGCAGACATGTTCACTACTTCATTGGTATACTTACTTTACGCGAATTTTCTTGTTCCGAAACACAATTTCATCACTAGTATCGATCATTATCGAATTTTTGCCCGTAAGATCGTTCGAGCACTCAAGTGTTCCGTTTCAACTTGATACATTCAAAGCTAACATGAGTATTAAATAATAAATTACATTAAAAAGATATTGATTGATTTTTATCAATTCAACACTATTCTTCGTTACAATGAGTATTTTTTTATGGTATAAAACTGCTTTACTTTATAAATATATCTGACTCTATTTTAGATATATTTGATAGTCGTTTCACTAGATGATAAAAAATTTATTAAATTACTTTAAAAGTTGTATCAGGTAGTCAATTTTTTGGATGGTCAAATAAGAAGATGCTTGTGGAGTTTATTTCACACCAAATGTACATGTTCTAAGTAAACTCTATTAACAATCAAAAATTCAAAATTGTGAAATAAGGCATTTTAGTGTTTATTGATAAATTTCAAAATTTTAGCCATAACAACCAACACAATTTCTTTTGAAGGTGAATTGGAGATAACAATGATCAAATAGATTTTAATTTATTATTATTCTTTATCAAAATTAAATATTAATTAATACAAAAAAATTAATTATTAAAATTAATTATTAATTAATACAAAAAATGAATAAATTTTAACAGAACTAAATATTCGTAGAGAATTTGAAAAAAACTTGGAAAAAAGCTGATGAAATATGCCTAATCTTGAGAATCTTGATAATTAATAAACTTAAATAACTCATAAGCGAATGTACCATGCTTTTTGAACCAATCAACTAAGATTAATTGATCAATTACTGTTGAAATATTATTTTTAATAAAAGTAAAAGCTGTTTTTTGAACATCTCCTAAACTTTCATTGAATTCAGCACACAAAAATAAAATATCTTTTAGATTTTCTGAATTGATATTTTCACAAAGATAACTTCTGTATGTTTCTTCTTTTACCATATTCTTGACGTATTTCTTGAAAAATGAATTTAAAGTCTGTATCAATCCATCTATATCATACAATTTAGCGAACTTATACAAACTTGCAGCATTGCAGAAATTTAAATTAAAAATCAAATATTCGATACATTTAGCTTGCAAATTATCTATCTGATATTTATGTGCAATAGCATAAAGATCTTGAGGATGATCAATCGTTTCACTTAATTCATTGGTGTAAATAAATTTGATCATTTCTTCAACTACCTCAGCTTCAAAATCTTCAATTTTTATTATTTTTGAATTTTTTTCTGTCATGTTATGATCAAACATTGCTCTAAAGACATCGCTCTTTAAAGATAACATATCTACATGAACTTGGAAGTTTTCACTGCCAACAACAAAATGAACATAATTTGTATTTTTAAATAACGAAGTATTCAAACTTTGATGAACTTGAAACATATCATTTAATGTATGATCATTGAGAATCAGCCTGTTGATCTTAAAACAAATATGCTTAATTTTACCAGACTTAAAAATGTCAAATGGTTGATCTCGTACTTGAAAGTGCAGAACTTTATCGATACGAACTGCGTGTAAAACTTTTGGATAGTTTACATGAGTCTCAGCTTGATTTTGCTCTATACAAGCTCTTACATCGACAATATATAAATAATTCTTTGAAGAATCAACGTAAACTTCATCAACGTAATTCTTGAATATTCATTCGAGTTTGTCAAAACTAGCGAATTTCTTCTGGGTATGTGAATAGCCATTATTATAATAACCACTACTATAATTATTATCTTGCGCCCGTTATGCTCTTGAAAGAGCCAAAATTACCTACTTTCGGTTGAGCGTCGAGGGTGCGGTTGGCCCCCGAGAGTCCTGGCGAGTCCTTCGGGGCATGGGCATCTCATCTCGTCCTTCGCCATCACCCTTATCGGTTTTCGACCCCGACGTGCTGAACCGTCATTTCGCCGCGGTGTCTGCTGCTGTATCGCCACTTTCAGCTGAGGATATTGAGCTCGCCCTATCCACCCCCCCGTCGCATGGTTTTCAGCCTTTTAGCATTGGGCATGTTTCAGAGCTTGGAGTCTTGCAAGCTCTAGCTCGTCTAAAGTCTCGCGGGTACGGTGTCGACGGTTTGAGCGCGTGTGTGATCAAGCGTGTCTGCCCTGCCATTCTGTCTTCGGTCACTGCAATTGTAAATAGATCGTTCGAGCTTGGCCATTTTCCCTCTTCTTGGAAGGTGGCTTCAATTGTGCCACTTGCGAAGACCTCATCTTTATCCTCGCCGTCTGACACGCGTCCCATCGCTCAGCTCCCGGAGATCTCAAAGGTGATAGAGCGTGTAGTTCACCATCGCTTGTTCCAGTACCTCACGAGGTACAATCTTCTTGATCGAGACCAGTTCGGCTTTCGCCCCGGCCACTCCACGCAAGCGGCGTTATTGCATGTAACTGAGGCTATCAGACGGTCGGTCGATGTGGGTGAGATCGCTGAGCTCATATCATTTGACTTTTCAAAAGCTTTTGATGCGATTCCGCATGCCCTTCTCCTGAGAAAGCTGCGAATGATTGGCTGTGATGAGGGCTCACTGCGATGGTTCGCGAGTTACCTTTCGGGCCGCGCGCAGGCGGTTCGCTTGCCGGATGGTTCGCACACACCCCTGGTCTCGGTGTCCTCGGGCGTTCCCCAGGGCAGTGTGCTCGGTCCCCTTCTCTTCATCATCTTTATAAATGATCTGCCCGCTGTTCTAGATAAGGCTCAACATATGATTTACGCTGATGACACCCAGATATTGATCACTGGCCCCTCACGCCCGATCGCCGGACTGGTTACTGCTGCGAACTCCGAGATCGCTGCTATCTGCGGGTGGGCGAGGTCGAACCTGATACGCCTGAACTCCAATAAGACCGGTGCTATGCTCTGTGGTGGCCGTTTCAGGATCTCGAGCGCTCTTGAGGGGGGACCTCCGCAGCTGTTCGTCGACGACGTGCCGATTGTGAATTCAACGAGTCTCAAGATCCTTGGCTGCGTTATCACACCGTCACTCTCGTGGACTCTCCAGATCAACCGTGTTAGCTCTTCGGTGCATCGCGTGCTTCATGCTCTGCGACACAATCGTCACGCTCTTCCGCACGCGCTGAGGCAGCGGCTGGTCATGGCTTTGGTTTTCCCTTACCTGGATTATGCAGCGCCTCTTATCCTCGACCTGGACGCCCTCAACTCTGCGAAGCTCCATCGCCTTCACAACTCTACGGTTAGATTTGTCTTCGGCAACATCCCCTACAACGCTCACGTCACACCTTACCGGCTCGCTTTGGGCTGGCTGTCGTCGCGACGGCGGTGCGAGTATATTGCGATCTTGCTCGCGTTGAAAGTCATCTCAACCTGGGAGCCTCATGGCCTCGCTGGGCTTTTCACCGTGCGAGAGAGGCGGCCGGATGAGATCGTGACTAGGAGCCGAGCCGTCCGCTTGGTGGTCTCAAGCACGAATACTGCGACGTTGAGGAAAGGCTTTGTGGCCTCTGTGTCGCGGCTTATCAACAGTTTGCCTTTCATCGAGGACCCTCGCTGCCCACCGCCGCCCGCCCTCCTCAAGGCTCAACTTCATAATCACCTGTACTTGCTTGATGTCCAGGATTGGCATCGCCGGTGTGAGGTCGAGGGTCTTACTTATGAGCCTCGATGTCTCAGCGGTAGACTCCCATCTATTTGAAATCATCTTTGAGGAGATGATCTCAAAACTTCCGCCTTTTGTACATAGTTTCTTGTATATATTTGTAAATACTGTAAATACTTTGTTAACTGCCTTACCTCTTTCATCTATGTTTTATGCTTTTTGTTTTTATTTATTTTTGTAATTAGTCTTTGTAATTGCTTTTACGGCCAGACGGGATCTCAACCCAAGGTCGGTTAATAAATTGTAAATAATAATTATAAGATTGGTATGGAGATTTCAGACCAAATTTCAACGTAATAGTTTCCTTTGGCTTCGAAAGTATACATTCCTTTTGAAATTCCGTATAGTCAGTGGTAATTTGTGAATCCCCAATCTTAACAATATTTTCACTATAACATTCAATCATGTTAAATTCAATCATGTTACATTCAGTAATATATTATAAAATTTTCTTAAAAAAATAAACAATGTTCTTCTATACTATTCTTCTAGAAACTATAACAAAACGTTAAGACAAATGCGACGCGACGCGCGCTTATTTACCAATACGGGTAAAATGCACAGCGTTTTCAGAAACACGACGACAGCTACAACTAGCGCCACACGCGGCAGTGCAACAATTCTCGTACACGTTACCGACATAAGGAGTGTAGCCAACTTTATTCATGCTAGAATATATATTGTACATGAAAAATGTTTTGCAATACTATAGTAATAATGAAGGAATCAATAAGATTCGTTTTTTCCTGTGTATGAAATTATTTTTATTGCATAATTAGTCCAAAAGTACTGCTTAGAATATAATATATTATTTCGTAAATTATTTTAGAAGTTGGCTGCACTCCTTATGTCGGTAACGTGTACGAGAATCGGTGCACTGCCGCGCGTGGCGCTAGTTGTAGTCGTCGAGTTTCTGACAAGTGACAACGCTGAAAATGCATGCTGCCAGCTTTCCGCACAAAATCAAGCGCCCTCTAATCAAATTGAATAAGTTCAATATCAACTTTATTTTTAGTGAGTTGGCCTTATCAAAATTTTAATAGAATATTTTCCCATGTGAGCATAACTTTGGTGAAGAATAATAAAATAAAAGATTTGGTAAATTTCTGTTTTAAAATTCATTGAATAAAACGATAGTCAAGTTCCTGCGTGAAACTGAAATTTTTCAGAACTACCGCATTGGTCAATCAATGTAGCTACCGTTTTTAAATTATCTCCGATGTCATGCGCACATTGAAAAACATCTATTTTTTATATTTTGAAAGGACAATAAAACTGCAATTATCAATATGATGAGATGGCGCTAAGGTAAACAAGAGTATATTCAGAATGATTATTGTATAAGTGGCTATGCAAATTTTTATTTAATGCTAATAAAAACAGCATTCAATAATATTTAGAATGTATGCTGAATACTTATTACAGGGGGCGCGTATCGCACTTTACTTCCGCGGTTCGCCGGATACTGTAGTCCAGCAAGGCGGCAATGCCAGGCGGAGCGCTATAAGCGCTCTTTGTCATAAATATAGCCCGGATAATATGCATTGAAAACGGCAAAATATCCACAAAAAATGTTTAAAATGTGCAAAAAATAGGCACAAAAATATGCTCAAATAAATAATTATTTTGAATATTTATTAATAATAAATCATTAAACTTCATCAATCATAATTTTTAAAAATTGTAAAATATTTAGAAAAAAAACATATTGATCAATACCTAAATGTATTTCGATCGTCATCACAGAGTCAAAACTAATTTTTATTAAGGCAGATTTCATAAATTTTCGGTAATCTGCGAATGAATGATGAGAACAGCAGCTTTTCAAATATTATCCAACAAATTTTTATTCAAGATACAATGTAAATGCTCCAGTCGCCGATTACTTCCCCCTTACCTTCCATTCTCCTTTAATTAAGGCTATCATTTAAATTAATAGAAATTAATATTAAAATGAAATTTTAATGTTATACAATTTTCCCCCCTTCTATAAATATTACACTTTCCGAGGAAATTTATGGCTGCACTTGAAATAATTAAATCTCATTTGTCATATACGATTTAGAATCTAGCCGAAAACTGAGCTACTAGATAAAGTATAGTCCATTAATTTGTCGATCAACTCTAATAATTTCATATTTAAATATTTCAATTCAATTTTAAGAACGATAATATAGGTTCCTTATACATATCTAGACCCGTATTTTGATTTATAGTACTTATTAATCAAACGCATGAACTGATTGAAACTATTACAGTTTTTGCTATCAAAAGATTTATTTCTACAGGTTAGCAAAGTAATAATTAAGTGGTCGAAAACTGGGGCATTTATCGAATTGTTAATATTTTTTATCAAATGTGTGCTTAAGATGGAATGGAAATTCAGGATTTTTTATTGATATTGCCAAATAGGGAAGTACAGACTCACAACATTTTTCGTAAAGTATAAATAACTCATTCTTGAGCATGCGTTTATGATTGTTGAATGAATCGATGCGATGTGATACGCTCAGCGCATCGGTTAAATTGTGGATCATCCGAGATGAGCGTGACTGCAAGTGACTTATGCCGCTATCTCGAAATGGGAATAATCGTATAAGAGGAGAGAAGCAGCGGGAGCGAAAGAGAGAAAAAACGTTTGCTACCGCCATTTTGCACGACTGCGCGTATCCTCGACTTTCTCTCTCTCTCTCTTTCTCTCAACGTTATATCTGTTCAATCCCTGTCAATCTACACTTTATCCTTAGTCCACGACTTCGAGTTGTACCAACAATTTCTCAATGCAATGGTTCTCAATGGTGCAGCATCGCGAATTGCAATAATTCCATGAATATGAACATATGCCCCTTCACTCGAACACATATAGCGTCGTCACAATTGACGATTATAGGCTAACACGCCGATACCTATCGCATGATACGCGTATGTGCTGAATGCTCACGCTTTGCGTCGTCGGTCGTACACGAAGATTGAAGCTATCTCCGCTCCGTTTTATCTCGACGCATGAGGCTGGCGGACGGACTGGCCGAGCGAAGGCTTGCTTACACCCACCATATTATGGTACAATGCCTAATCTGCGCCGCCAACCTTCGCAGACACAGTTTTCGCTTTTTACATCATCATATGTTATGTCTAATTGCATATAGACGCGGAACTTGTGTACACACGCTCGCAGATCGATTGAGATACATCGCGCAGCATGTTGTGTATCTGTAATCAAGTTGGCACTTGCGTCGCGGGACTTGCCTGATTGGACCTCTCGAGCGTGCATATTGCATTAGAAGCGCTCTATATATATATAGTGTCAATCGAGTACTTGTAGGCGGTACATGTACGCTATATTCCGCAAAGCCGAGAGGTGAGGAGCGCCGAATTAGTGGATTATCCAAGCGCGTAAGTGAAACGAGGAATAGAAAAATGCCTTGTGTCAACGATAGTTTACTTTTTTGACATTTCTGTGAATGCGTGCAGTGGGCTGCTAAACGTAATCGCGAATCGAGACGGGCCGCGCTACTGTGACATAAGTTGTATCATTCTGGCTCTTCGCTCGCCGCCAGGTGTGAACGTTTTTTCCAATTTGACGCTTTACAACGTCGCGATTCTTTCTTTGTTCTCGTTTAGCCGGTCCGAGTGGACATGCGAAAATATCAGACGAACGAGAATGCTCGTGATTCGATTATTGTGAATTGCATTATTCGACGCGGCAAGGGTTAGGTGCTGCGAGCGCGTTTGTTGTCGTCGCGACTCGCGCTATATGCACTCGGCACTCGCTTGCACTTCCGTACATACCGTCTTATTTAACGCATTGTTTGGCCGAAATAAATAATCGATTTTACCCATCTTTGCAGGTGATCCAGTCTGTCGTACCGCTTTTGATACTTTTACTACTGTAAGACGGCCGAATGATTGCCAAATAAATTACGATTATCAACGAAGCTCTTGTATTTCCATTGCGACGTTATTATGAATCTTGACAGTGATACACTCTGGATTATTTTCGGTACTTGATACCTGGATGGATATTTAAATTGTAAGTATTTAGATTTTAAAAAATTGTATGATGCAATTATAAAATACATTTATCTTTATATATCTTTGAACTTCCAAAACAATTATTTTACTTCAATTATTTCTTTCTCAATTATGAACAATTTTTACTCTTAGTTGGTAACTACACCAAATTTGATGTTTCATCAAAAGTTTAATGAGTAAAATCAATTCATTTCAGAAGTTTTAAATAACTATTTAAAGAAAACTACAAGACGTCAACAAAATTCTTGTGTAAAAACGATATCCAGTACTTTATTACAAAAAAATGGATGATGAAGAAGGGTCATCTAGTTCTGGCCCAATGTCGTCGTTAAATAGTTTATTTACTTTTACTAGTCCAGCTGTAAAAAAATTACTTGGATGGAAGCAGGGCGATGAAGAAGAAAAATGGGCTGAAAAAGCTGTTGATTCTCTTGTGAAAAAGTTGAAAAAAAGAAAGGGAGCTATAGAAGAATTGGAAAGGGCACTGAGTTGTCCAGGTACTCCTAGCAAATGTGTAACCATTCCTAGAAGTCTTGATGGAAGGTTACAAGTTTCTCATCGTAAAGGATTACCCCATGTTATTTACTGCAGAGTATGGCGCTGGCCAGATCTACAATCTCATCATGAATTGAAACCCTTGGAATTGTGTCAGTATCCATTCTCTGCTAAACAAAAAGAAGTTTGTATAAATCCCTATCACTACAAAAGAGTTGAAAGCCCAGTACTTCCACCTGTACTTGTTCCAAGGCATTCTGAATTTGCCCCTGGTCATTCACTCTTGCCATTCCAACAGCTTACGGAACCTACAATGCCACATAATGTCTCTTATTCATCCACTGGATTTAATCCCACATCTACAAATGCAGGTAATGATTATATTTATTTAATTTTTTTTGTCAAATACTTCAAGATCCAAAAAATTAATATAGTAAAGTTCCTTAGATTATATAACAACTTTGTAATGATGAAACTCAATCCAAAATTTAACTTCATTTTCTTTCAGTCGGTTCTGGCGTTAACCCCACCTCACCAATCTCATCAGTTGGTTCAGTTCCTAGTCCAGGGTCGTCAGCAACAACTAATCCTCAAAGTCCTTATGGTTCTAATGGTTTACCTGAAACACCTCCTCCAGCATATTCACCACCAGATGATGGTTCTCAACATGGTTCATCACCAGCCCCAGATTCTACTCATAATTCAACAACAGTCACAGCTATGGATACAACTAATAGTTCTGAAGTAGCACCAGTGTGTTATCAAGAGCCACCATATTGGGCATCAATAGCCTACTATGAATTAAATTGTCGCGTTGGTGAGGTTTTCCACTGCCAATCGCATTCAATTATTGTTGATGGTTTCACGAATCCAAGTAATAATTCTGATCGTTTTTGCTTGGGGCAACTATCCAATGTTAATAGAAATTCGACCATTGAAAATACTAGACGACACATTGGAAAAGGTGTGCATTTATATTACGTTGGAGGAGAAGTTTATGCAGAATGTTTATCTGATTCAGCAATATTTGTACAATCAAGAAATTGCAACCACCATCATGGTTTCCATCCTAGTACGGTTTGTAAAATTCCTCCAGGGTGTTCATTAAAAATTTTTAATAACCAAGAATTTGCACAACTTCTCTCGCAAAGTGTTAATCATGGATTTGAAGCTGTCTATGAACTTACTAAAATGTGTACTATAAGGTGAGATTAAAAGATATATTTTTCATGATTTTTTTTTGATAATAAATGGAGTTATAATTTTTTTTTAAATTTCAGAATGTCTTTTGTGAAAGGTTGGGGGGCAGAGTATCATCGCCAAGACGTTACATCCACACCATGTTGGATTGAAATTCATCTGCATGGACCTTTACAGTGGCTTGATAAAGTACTGACTCAGATGGGTACTCCACATAATGCCATAAGTTCAGTATCTTAAAAAATTTGGAGATTCTTTAATTAACAAACATATGATAATACATAAAGAGACGTAATAGGTTGGTGCCCGAACTATTTCCCAAGAATAATGGTTCATCATTTTAATATTATCTATTTGATTTTTTAACAATGAAACTAATTTCAAATAAATGGAAACATGAAACATGATATTCAATTATAGGGTTTTGTATAATTTTTCGCATAATTGATCATGAACTATATTTTGTTCATGAGTATAAATTGATTAAATTGTTTCATATATTAGACTTTTGCAAGTCATTAAAGCCAAATTGAACTGTGACGCTTAGGTGTTATGTATAATATTTTTAAAGAGAGACTTATTGTAATGATTGTCATTTTCGTTTCTTTGTTCAAATAAGACGAATCTGACTCAGTGATATGTAAGTGGAAGAGCATTATCCTATTATTGCTTTGCCGTGAATAATAAAAAAAACTCAATTTATGAATAATCAAATTCAAGTAATGTAAATTTAAAATAATTGTAATTTATATTATTGTACAGACATACAAACTAAGAAAAAATCATTAGGTTTTATGCATGTATAATTGATATCATAAAAATGATATAATCCATACCAGAAAATGAAGTGATCATTGGAGTAGAGCAACTGAAAAAATTGTTGTCTAACTATATACTCCATAAAATATAATTTAATCATATAATAGAATAAAAATATTAATCTTGCTTTGCCTTTTAATGCAATTATTAAATTAATTAAAAATTTTTATGCAAGGTGCCTTTTTCGACATGTTTTTCCAAAAAAAAATAAGACAATGATAATTGAAATAGCCTTTTTGAAATGAAAGTTCTTGTAATTGCCTTAAACTATATTTATATGAATTAGCCAATGCTTGAAAGCTGCATAAAATGAACATTTACTCTGAATAAGGTAGGATTAAAAATTGAGTAAACAAAAATATTTATTCAATATTTATCCAATTTTAAATTAGAACAATGCCATAAAAATGTAATAAATGACAATAAGACGGTCTAAATATTTAAATTTGTTTATTTTTTAAATGGAAGTTAAATGTGAAGTAACAATAATAAGGGGCGTGAGTCGTTGAGATTTAAACAACTCTTAACAAAGTGAAACAAATCTGTAAATTATTATTATTATTAAAGCACCAAATTCAAAAACTTGCTAATGCTCAAAAAAAATTAATGATAGGTGTAATTTTGTTTCAATAAAATTTTAATTGTACGAATTTCTATGAACGATGAATTTTGTGTATTATTCAGAAAAATTGATAGTTTGCTAGATAAACCATTCCAAAATTGTAGCCTTTTTATCAAATATATATAAGCATTTTTTCAATGCATCAATATTAATAAATTTAATAAATATGTAAAAACTGTTATGATAGCCTTTGTGTGTGCATTACATCAAATTGAAAAAAAGTATAAAATATAATTTACATATGTGTCTTGTGAGATTAATGTATCGTCATCGTAAGTTAATAAAAAACGATGTAATATCATTAGATTGTAACTGTTCAGTAAATTCGATAGAAAAATCATTGTTTAGAAATTTAAAAATATATTGTCATAATTTCTAAATATGCAATTTCATCAATCTCAAATTATTGATTTTGAAAAATTGGAAACTAATTGTCACAATAGAGTCTGTATGAATTTAATGGATTTTTTCATGAGAAGTTGAGCTAAAAGGTATAGATCTATTACGTTTTTGCTTATGTCTTTTGTAGAAAAATGCATTAAATAATTTATGGCATAATAGTATCATTTATTTCTTTAATAAAAATTTTCATTGAGAATTAAAGCAATCATTTCATGCTTCTGTATATGACAATGTCTTGGCACAAATAAATGTAAAAGTTCTAAAATATATTAAAATTCAATAAATCAATGTGTACGAATTCTTGTGATGCCATATTTTTTGATGGAATAATAATTGAATGTTATTTATTGGCATGTTTCTATTAATTTAACAAAATTGTTGGAATTATAATTTCTATTAATTATTGTATCAAGTAAATTGTGAAATTTTATAGAAATTAAGTGCGTGATTCGATTAAAATTATAATTTAAAATAATAAATTGAAGCTCAACTAGAAAAGGATAATAATTTAAATACATCTTTTTAATCATAAATAAAGAGGCTCAAAGCATTTAAAAAAATGTTTGTTTCTTTTTTTAATTCAGTTTATCACTTCAATGATGAAATAGTTATTTATGTAACAAGTGCCCAAAAGGCGGTTTTGGGCACGAGTGTGCGGAAAAAGACACGAGTGGGTGTTTTTTCCGCACACTGTGCGCAAAAAGCTGGGCACGTGTTGCATACAAAATTTTATGCAATAGTAGGCGAATAGTACATTACGTCACTCGTGCGCGAAGTGGGTGATTCTCGCACGAGTCTCAGTTTGACGCCCGAGCGCAGCGAGGGTGACAATGAGACGAGGGCAAGGATCACCACGCGCACGAGTGACGTATACTATTTTTTATCACGAGTTGCGGGAAGTTTTTATTTCCCACACGCTCAGCCGTGCGGGAAGTATGTAATTTCGAGAAGTATCGTTATTACAGTACTGCTCGGGAATCACGTACTTCCCGCACGGCTGAGCGTGCGGGAGATCAAACTTCCCGCACGCTGTGATAAAAAAATACGTTCATTTAAATGAGGCGTTTTACCGCACACCCGTGTCCAAAATGGGGCATTTTACCGCACACAAGTATCCAAAAACGCTTTTTGCGCACTAAAAAATATGCGAAAAAAGACATTATTATTCGTCATACTATTGCATAAATTATTTTTAAGTAATATGCTTAATTATTATTACTTTCATTCCCTTTCAATAATATTATATCCATTGTAAAAATAGACAAAAAAAGAATACTCTTGATAATTCAATATGAATTTGAAAACTTAAAATCAAATTCATTGTTTTTCTTTGAAATTTATTTTTTAAGAGATTTTTTTTATTCAACTGCAGGTATTTGTAAGATCAATTTTTCGCAAAGAGGAATCAGTTCAATACGTAATGTTTATGAGTTTAAAAGTTCAGGAAATGAGAAAATTATGAGATAAAAAAGGATATAACCATCTCAGTAACATATAGCTTTTACTAGAATGAAGGAAGTATTTGACAAAATTAGTTGCAATTGATTGAATTCGTTAACGAATTAATTACAAAAGAAATTTTAATTTTGGGTGAAAGATTTTACAAGTTAAATAATTATCTCTTCATGTCTATTAGCTATTTAAGTAACCCGTGGCACACCCAATTTGGGGACAATTGCATATGTTATTTCTTATGGGGAAAATTTTAGTTCGGTGTCCGCCGCAGCCAAGTGGCTTATTTGGATGTACTTTTTCTTTACTCACGCGTACAACCACATCTTCTTGTATATTTTTGTATTTCCCGTCAAATAGAATAGAATAGAATTCATTAACGTTTTGCATCAGGAAACTCGCAAGTCGTAAGTTACAAAGAGCAATATAATATGAGCTTGTTGAGCAATGCTCTAGACTACTACCCTCCCTTATCCCTGACTACTGTAGCGACATCGTGAGCTTGACATTAAACATCTTCTATTTGGGAATACCGGTGAGAATCGAGATTCCAACTACAAGACAATTGATCGTTGTGACTTGTGAACGTGAAGTCTAATTTTTGCATTAAAAGCAGCATCAAGTGTTTATTAAAATTCCCCAGCATTTAAGAAAAATTATTTATAATACAATAAAAAATGTGTGAGGTGACTGAATGTTATGAACGTAATATCCTCAACGTGGGGTCTTTGCCCAGTAATAATTCTATTACTTTATCACAAAATAGTTGGTTAGTTGAACAGAAGCCACAAGAAAATATTAAATTAGATTTTCATTTGAATCATTTAGAAGAGAGGATGAATAGTAATTATTCCAATACTACTATTTATAAATTACGATTGAAACTCACTATTACATTTGAAAACTATATTCACGAAATTTATACCAATCTCATGCAAAAATATGCATATGAAATAAAGATCAAAGCACTTTTAAAATATCATAAAGAGATTCACATGAATTTTACAAGAGATTTTATTCAAACTAGAACCAGCAACATCCTAGAATTTGAAACTCAAGAACTATTACTTTCCGAGGAACATGAAATTTTACATCTCTGCTTTGATATTCGCAGATTAAGATTAGATAAACAAAGAAATGACGACAAATTATTTTGTCACGAAACCTGTTGTGAATTATTATACAAAAATCCTAATGGAAGATGCATCAGTTTACATGTTGGTGATCAAATTTTTTCAGTCCACGAAGAAATATTATCAAAAAGTGATGTTTTTGCAGCCATGTTTAATCATGACATGAAAGAAAATAGTACTAACAGTTTAGTAATTAAAGGAATAGACGCTGAAATAATTGAAGAAATGTTAAGATTTTTATACACAAACAAAATAAGTAATCATATTATACGACCTGTAGATCTTTATGCTGCTGCAAATAAGTATCAAGTAGATTATTTATCAGATTATTGTCTAGAATACTTGATTTTTAATTTAAGATTTGAAAATGCTGCTAGTTTATACATCTTAGCTGATTTTTATAACATTTCCTGTTTGAAGACATGTTTAAGTTCATTTTTCCAGAAATACGATAATCATATGATTCAAGAAGATACATTTAAAGATTACCTTAATGAACACATAAATACTGATAGTATAGTAGATATTTTGTTGTTCTGTATAAAATTTCCTTTACAAATGCAAGAAGTTAGAAAAGCAGCATTTGATTTTGTTAAAAAAAATACATCTAAAGTTTTCACAAACCCAGGAATGTTAAAATTGTTTGAAAATCATCCAAATTTTACTTATGAACTATTTCATTTCATTCATTCCAAAAACGGTGAAGAGAACATTTAATGGTAGAGATGTTTTAGTTCTAAATCTATAAAAAAAACTAAAAATAAAAATTATAAGAAATTATTGTTTATTCAATTATCAACTGAAACATTTTTTATTGAACTATATTGTAAAAAAATAAACTGGAAATAAAGGGATTTTTATAGATATGATTGAACTTTCTAATTTAATTTTCCTTTGAAGTATGAAAATAACATTGCTATAAAAGAATGCAAAAATATTACTATTAATTAAATTCAGTAAAAAAAAATACAATTTTATTGAAGTGACATATGTTGGTTGATTCTTATATTTATGTACTAGATGTACTAGACCAATACTTGTAAGCTCATAGAAAGACAGTTTCAGACCTAGTTTTTGTTTTGTTAAGTACAGAAATCGGTGTCAATACTTTCACTATAAGATCTTGCTAAACTTTCGTGAAAATTAGGTACTATACTTAGTTACTACATAATTTTTTTAGTTTACTACATCGCACTACGTACCTAATTTTTCAAATCAACAGGTATCTAAAACTGCAACAGTAACGAAATGATTCTTAAGGAGGTTCGGGAGTCTCAGAGGGGGACGAAGCGGGACGCGAGGCCCGAGGGGCTCCTATTAGGCATTGTCCCGATATGAGTTGACCGCGAGGTGGCGCACTTGTGTTATCCGACTTGTTACTATTATTATTATTTCTACACAGTGTAACGTCCGTAAAGCAGACGACGAACTTCTTTTCGCTATATAAATTTTCGCGAAAAACGTACCGTGCGCATGACGTCGCATAACACAAGTGCGCCACCTCGCGTTTAACTCTAATCGGGACAATGCCTAATACTTCCAATGTTAAATTTTCAGCGCTGCCAACTTCGAAATAACACGAAATTGTAGGTTTTTTCAATGAGCTGGCACACAATTATAGCTATTATTAATAATTCAATCATTTTGATGAGTTTTTTTCGATGTTTTAGGCTTAAAACAATACTCTATTTGTCATTAGAGTCGAATGAGCACATATTTTTGTTGTTCTAGCTCATTTGTTGGTTAGGGTACGCACAAATGACCCACGAATTTTTACACATAACAATATATTTCTCGATAACTAAACGGTCGATGAACTTCTTTTTGCAGTCAAATTATTCCTTATTAAATTTCCTACATGTACGTATTTTTTTCTATTTAGTTTTTGTTTTTTTACATTATGTTTATGCTCATTGAAAGCGAAAATTCATGATTTCTCGTAAGAAACCATGTTAAATGGTCAAAAAACTTTTTCATCATTTTAACAAAATTTTGCGGTGAAAAGTTGTATTTTGATATTAACATTCATATTATAAAGTTTCAAAGCAATTAAACGTGTTTTAAAAATTTGGCTGCATTTCGCTGAGACTCCCGAACCTCCTTAATGATCGCGATTCTCGGAAGTACCGATAACAAAGAGGGCGCTATTGTGCTCCTAGACTAAGTTACGAACGTGAAAATTGGAATCATACAACGTTTACGCATCGCACAATCTCAAACAATCAAGCATCAGTTTTAGTCTCTCAAACAGGATGATAAATAATCATCAAAATGTCCGAAGTCATTGAATGTTTCAAGGCGAACATTCTCAACGTTAGTGATTTGTCAGATGGACGTGTAGAGTTTTCATTAAAATGTTCACTTCAACAAAAGCCAAAAGAAAGTATTAAACTAGAATGTGAGTTATCTGAAAATCTATTTTCTTGTAATCAGTTATTTTATACTAGTTTTCGGCTGATCGATTTAGGAAAACTTAAGCTTACATTTGAGAATTATATTCACGAAATTCAGGCAAATTCTAAGCAGAAGTATGCTTATAAAATAGATGTGAGAGCGCTTGTGACAGACAATAGAGAGACATTTCATGTTAATTTTCCACGAGTATTTCAAGAAACAAGAATTACAAAGATACTTAATTTTAAATCACAAGGTCTGGTACTGCCAGACTCCTCAGAGCTGGAAATTTCTCATGTATGTTTCAATATTCACAGACTAAGATTAGATGAACCTGAAAAAAATGATAAACTTCTCGTTTATACAAATTTTTGTGAATTATCCTATAAAAGTTTGAGCTGTGACTTAATTAGTTTAACTGTTGGTGACCAAAATTTTTCAGTACATAGAGAAACGCTATGTTCAAGTAGTGATGTCTTCGCAGCAATGTTTAATCATGAAATGCAAGAGAATAATACAAAAATAATAAAAATTGAAGATTTTCAAGCAGATGTAATAGAAGAGATGATCAAATTCATGTACACCAATGAAATAACTGAAACTATTGAGTATCCTCAAGATCTCTATGCTGTTGCACATAAATATCAGATGGAAAATTTGAAAGCTAAGTGCCTAGAATATTTGATTTTCAATTTAAATTTTAGTAATGCTATAAATTTGTATAGATTTGCTAAGTTGTATGATATAGAATATTTAATAACAACGTTGAATTTGTTTTTTAATAAATATATGAAAAATATGGTTGATGAGGAAACATACAGAAATCACCTTTGTGAAACTATTAATTTAGAAAATATAGTTAATATTCTGCTTTCGTGCACTGTTTATGAAAAATTAGAAGATGTTCAGAAATCAGCATTTAATTTTGTTAAAAATAATATTTCAGAAGTACTAGCCCTCCCTAATATAATAAATTTGTTCACAGACCATCCCAAGTTTACTTTAGATTTACTTAAGTTTATTCATCCAAAGAATTGAAAAATGTTAGCAAACATTAAGTTTTAATTACTTAATTACCAGTGGATAATTATTTTGTTTTAAGTGCCTTAGCTTTTAACACTTATTTTGTATAAACAAATTAAAATTTGTTTTTTATTATTATGATTGATGTAATAAAAAATGTACTTTTTTTTACCTATTTGTCGTTTTAAAACAATTTTTTGACATTAATTTTATGCATAATTATATTTATAGAAAGCATTCAATTACTCCATCAGTTTTTTCACAGCTTATTTAAAGCCTCAGGCTTTGGTAGTTTGAAGTGCACGTAGAACAAGGCATGATCAAAAGATACTGAAAACATCAAAGTATTCATAAAATGCTAGTTTCAAGCTATCTGTAAATTTTCACATTGTAAAATATAATCAGTATATCCGATTGACAACGATTGGTATCATTTTATTAATGCAAAAGTTCGAAATCCATCGCCGAGAAAAAACGGATAAACACATCCACATTCCGCATTCAAAAACATCGTTCGAATATAAGCGGGTAAGGTTCTACCCGTCTTTCGAGCTAAATTCATTGGTGAAGGGTGGTTGGTCTGCATTCTGCAATGGTGGGCCAATCGCATCGCACGCGCAACATCGAGGAGACCGCGAGGAAGAACAAGAAAGCTTGAGAGCTGGCGCGGCGCAGCCGCGAACGGTGTCATTTGTGTCCAACTGCATAACATCCAACTCCGAAGCGATAAAAGCACAACCGACCGCGAAAAGAAGAGAATCGGAGCTCGATAGGCCAACGAAGCTCTCGCGATCGTTGCACACATCGAATCCAAAGTCCCGCGAAGTGGGTACATGGACCCGGCCGCTGGCGCTGTTCGTTCATTCGCTCCGAGCTTCGCAACTCGCGCTCTCGCATTATAATTATTATTACCTTTTGCTCGCGGTGTAAAATTTCAGCCGGACTGCGCGCAAGTAGAGAGGCTCGACGCGGCGCGCAGACTATATACCAATTCTCGTGTGTACATGTGCTGCACAGGTCTGTGTGTATGTGTGTGTGTACTGTGTGTAGCGAGAACTGCGAAACGTCCGCGCGCCACCGTCGAATCAATACCCTCTGCTTACCTACTGGCTGATGCTGCCTGCACTGCTACTGCTATAGCTCTCATTATTGTTGTATACAGAGCAGAACTGGCCGTACTGCCTGCGGTGCAGTGCACAGTGTGGCTCGTGCATCGTATACGTACGATACAACAGACAGTGCCGACTGCACATTTCGACACAGTGTATTTTTCGATTTTTCAATCTATCGCAAGGACATAAGCAGCGCGCAACCGACGATATCATCGCACCCTCTTTCAGTCGCGACGTTTCATAGATACACAAACTCGCGAGTGAATCGTGCGCGACGCGCTTCTACCCCTCTTCACGGCGAGTCAGTGATGAGTGCGTATGACAGTTCTGCCTGCGAGCTGTAGTTATCTGCTGCTTCATCGATATAAGTGTGTATAAACGACGATGAGTCTAGCTGATTCTGCGATGGCGAGTAAGATGCAGCAGTTGTAAGCAGGGTGACGGCCAGCGCATATACACGGGGTGACAGCTATCGTCCGAGCTACTATCACGCAGGAATGTAGCTACAATAGACGTTTAAGTTCAAGTTGGTGTGACTAGTCTTTAATAATACTAAACTCGGCGGTATAAGTAGTGCGCGTGCAGCCGTCGACGAGCCTCTCAAGATCGCGGGGGTTGTGCAGTAACTCGACGATGTCGTTGTAGTGCCTCGGGCCGATAATCATCGCGAAAGACTGCGCACACCTCGAGCCATGGCCAGCAGCAAGGTAAGCACAGTCAAGCTCGCACGATTATATTTCGAATGCGCTATCAGCGAGACTCTAATAGGCGAATTCTTATGGATTAATTACGTTGCTTAGCCCATATGAGAAATGCGCGTCGAATCGATGCTGTACTTGTACGTATAGGTAATCTTGCGTGTTTACCCGACTCGAATATCAGGCGCGAATATCAACTGGTCGCAGCAGCGAAAACGCCAGCGAGATGAGCAGCGGCTTTAATTACTACGGCCATTTATCGCTACTAGGGACTACCTGTAATACGTAGATAAATGTATAGATGCGTGCGTAAATGCCGCGAGTTTATGGCGCCCCGCACATTTTCGTGCTACATATTACGTCTGATTCACAGCTGTCGTTGTGCGTACACATTACCTTCTTTTGCCGAGTTTGTGTGTTACATTCACGCACGGCACACCTCGGTGCCTTTGCCATTCGTTCCCTCTCTTTCTCTCTTTCGAAGCATCCTCCGAAAATGAAAATAATGCCCATGTAGTAAAAGCAGAGTCACACGTAATGTACGTGCGCTCCGAAGGGTCCCGGTGTCCTTGGACAAAAGGGATACGCGGTTGTTGCGCCAGCACAGGCTACATTTCGGCGATGCATCGCGCTACAATAGGTATCCTACATCATGGGGCGAGCTCCTTGCGGGCTGGATGGGTATATAGTTGCGGGCACCATCGATTTCGGAATTCGGAGCAGCCGCAGCAGCGGACTCGGAACTGCTTCTGTGTGGACGAGGAGCACTGTGGGACGCGCGACCCCCATACCTTTGAGATAGGATGTATGCGTGAAAAGCCGCGATCGATCTTCGCTTCTTCGTATATCCGTATATATATCGCACTCGGAATCTCGCGGTGACTTTGCATTTTTATCTAGCCTCGGCTGAACACGTACATACGAATTTTGCGTAATAAAAACAGCGGTGACACACTGAATGGTTGTCGAAATTAAAACAGCGAAGAACTTTGCCGCGTTTTGATTCTTTTCGTGCACAATACGTAAAATGTACGCAGGTGACATAGGGACGACTACACCTATGTACCTACATAATAATACTCGACTCTCGCAGTGGTTGCGTATATAACTTTAATAATCGGCCGGAGCTATGGAACTATATAGTATTACTATCGCGGAAGTGAGGCATCGCGCGGCGACTTTTTATCAAGGTTTTCCGCCTTTACCTCTGGAATATATGTATGGAATTGTGTACGTGTACCACCGGCGACAATATCGACTAGTAGCACCTATAATATCAGAGGAGAAGTGAACAGCGCCGCTGTACATAATATGTCACGCACGCTCGAATCAAAGGGTAAAACGTTTAAGGCGACGCTCACCCTACTTACACTTGGGCCAGATCAATTTAACGCGTTCGCGCTCGCGCTTCGTAATTTGCGCTCATCTGGAATAGTCTTACTGAATTTTCACAAAGCTGCTGCACTCAGGCAAAGTAAAAGCTTCCATGTCACGCAGCCACTATAGCTTTTCTTTTTCTCTCTCTGTGTATAGTTATTTTGAGCTCGGCGACACGCGACAGAGAGAGATCGTCATCTCTGGCGTCAAGTTCCATTTGCGGTACACCTGCGTGCATTAATATTGCGAGATCTAGGCCAATTCGCCTAGGCCATCGCGTCTTGCGCGAGTTGTCCGGCCCGCACGGAACGGAACCACGGCCAAATCGCCGCGTGCCTACTGATCCACTCCCTCTCGTTTAGCCCAATGCATCAAACGGCTCGCGTTTTCAATTGTCGCGATCGCGAGACGAGAAACCGATGCTTTCGAGCTGCCGAGAGCTCGCGTTCTCGAGAATCGAGCCTTATTCTATAATTATACGCGCGCGCAAGCTCCCTTACCCGCGCGAACGACTCGAGTCCTTTTTTTTCTTCGTGCGCTTTAGAAGCGGCTCGTACTTTATTTACGCTTCCTTCATAAAGTGTCGCGGACCGACGCCAACGAGCCGCCGCTTCTTTCAAGCCGTGGCTCGGCAGAAAGCGTCTTTATTTCAGGAATCGCGCTACGACCCCGCACGCGGAAAACTCAACGTCGCTTTCTCGTACGTCATTTTCTCAAAGACGTACAAGCTCGTGACGAATTTCCCACAGTTTATTTTCGCGATTTCTCGTAACTTTTCTGCCTTTGCGTATACCGTTGGAATATGTATATTCACTGCGAGTCGTCGGCCACTGTTGTACCTATGTGCCTTACGACGAGCGCCATAGGCCAACCTATAGGCCGTGTCGCGCTGATTTTTCGCTCTGCTCTTCCGTGACGATACGCTATACACGCCTGCATACGCTTTTGCGACTTTTCCTCTCTCTCTCTTTCTCTCTTTCTTGTTGTTTTCCCTGATTACGCTTGTTTATGACTTTTCCTTCTGCAATTCATGTAGCAGAGCTTCGCGGATATCTCTCGCAGTCGCGAGAGATCGCCCGATGCCGGCCGAGTCGAGCATCGATTATCCGCCCGATGCGTAAACAAAGCGCGACTAATTTTCAAAGACAAAAAAGGGAAATTTTTAAATAATCGAAAGCTTTTCCGCGCGGCTGAGCAAATTAGCTGCGACGAACCGGTATCAACCCGATAGTGCTACTCAGCTCCTCGGCGCGGGCGCGTTCCGGCGTGATGGGCGCGCAGCCGGAAACCGCTCCAGTCTCAGACTGCAGTTCGCCATAAATGCTGAAAATTAAAATTCCGCGCGGCTAATTAGTTTGCAAATAATGTATGAAGAATCCAAGAGAGAAAACTCGAACGCTTTCGGTATTCGTAATGGTTTCGGCAAAATCGAGCCGAGGCGCCAATGACCGCGCGAGTTCGCGAGCCGCAAAGAGGAGCGATCGAATAAAGAATTGTTGAATATGCAATAAATACATCGAGGGCATCGCTCGTTTGCGAAAGTATCTTATATACAAGAATCGAAGATCAGCGAGGCGATTTATCAATAACAATAATATATACAAAATGTGGTCTTGACTGGCACGTGGTTTACGCAATTGCCAGGCAGCTATAACGTGCATCGAACTGTCATAATGCGAGACAAAGATCGCCGCGTATACTTGACAGTCATGAAATTGTTTTCGACTTGGCTTCGAGCTCGCTGTCGAACTTCCGTGCGCTAGCAAAATTTACTTTTCAAGTGCATTCACCTCGCCGCGGCGGTGGTGGAGGCGGCGGCGGCGGCAGGTACACTTCATGTACACCCACACCTACACATTGTGCACGCGCAGATTTCTATATAGGAGCTGCATTATATATACATATCTCGAGATTGTATCGTATCGAGGCGGAATATCATCGCGTGATGAGCGCCTGAGCTCGCAAAAAAGTCTACTTCCACTGAAAATAATATCACTAATGCAACGCACACGCGCGCGCGCGGCCAAGCTCGTTATAACTTCGTTCGATGCAGCGGCTTGCCCAGCAACCCGAGCTGCTCGTTATACACATACACACACGCACGCACAGGTACATTATACATAATAATGCGTTTCAGCGATTTCAGACGAAAAACTTTCATCGCGATAAAAAAAAAAAGAAGAAAAAAACTGAAAGAAAAACGCGAATGTTACAACGAGACGCGCGTTGGCATATTGCGCGATTTATAATGGAAAGCATATTGTAACAAACGAGGAATCTCGTACTGTATGCGCTCTCGATTTCATCTCAATAATTAAAGGAAATGGCAAATACATTTCTATTTGCGAGAGAAACAAAGCAAACAAAGTTATCGCGTTACAGCACGCGCTACGGCCAAGGTTTATAATAGGAGCATAAGATAAGACCCTCCGACGTGTTATTCTATGTATGAATAAATGATTTTTCACGAAATCGCCAGCCCGTGATTCCGTATATTATACTTTTGCGCATCGGGTATACCTGCCGCATACTTCCACCTAATACTAATACATTATAATATATTATTATAATTATTATTATATATATTCAATGCCACGGTCAGCTCGTGTTCCTGCAATCGTCTTATTTTCTTCATAAAATGAAACTCAATCGGCGTGACATTTTTTCTAAAGCTTTTGACGACATTAAATTGCATCGTCAAGATTTCACGACTCGGTGGAATGTCGAAAAATGACGCAAATTCGAATGTGCAACTTTGTGTTGATTTCTCGACTCGAAATTTTATGCGTTACGCGACTTTACTAACGGAATTGAAGGGAAAATTGACCAATGGTTTTTGTTTTTTGTCCGCTATTGTTTACAGGAGTCATATGTAAATTAATATTTTACAAAAAAGCTGCGCGTACGATTGGTTATACGTTTCCATTAGATTAATGATACGATTTATTGGCGTGTATTATGTTCAATGTCCGAACAATAACCGACCAATAAATATTGTATTTTAGTAACAAGATTATATGATCGTCAAAGCTATTGTTTTACTCCTTTTACTCTGATTTCTAATGAATATGATATTAAGAATCTATAATAAATATGTTTAAACTAATTATATTTTGTTGTAAATATTATGTATACACTATTAAATTTTGACAAATTCGTTGAAAACTAAAAAATTCCTATTATTTTCACTCGTATGGTCTTTCACAATCTACTATTTCTTGTTCTAAAATTGTATTCATCTCATACCCGCGAATCAAATTTCAAGGGAAGTAGAGCAGCAGGCAAAATGATTCAAGCCAAGAATTTGATAATGAAAAATTGTGCAAAATAACTTAGTTTTACGCGATTGCCTTAGCTTCATAACTAATTTAACCAATATATTTATTTTTATTCCAAAACATCAAAAAGATAATTACAAACGCCAAACATGCTTATCACAATAGTTTGTTTATACGTGCGAGGGAACTATAAGTTTGACCCATTATTTGCTAAAAGTGAACGCAGACAGGTGTGGCAAGTGATCTACTTTCGAAAAAGATTATTAGTTCAAGGGGTGAGCAGACTAATAAATTTCAAATGTGTTATTAAGCATCTTATACGTTATTTTCAGATAATACAATGAATACTCATCA